ACACACACACATACATTCATACTTATCGTGCTGTGTGTTGCCATATGCCGCATTTTGCTGGCTGCCATCCAAATCTAATCTGTGGCAAACATGGCCAAGACACTTTTAGCGATATCAAGCGTTCAATATTCAAATTTTTCCCAAGTAGATGGCCAGCTAAAGTACGCACATATGTATGTACATACATACGTGTGTGTGTCGTGCTACATGCACTTGCAACAAAAAATAGTACCTACTTGCCACTCGTTTGTTGTCGTCATTGTTGTTGTTGCTTTTGTTATAGCCAACATGGTCTCATGGATTTTCGAACGTCCGAAGTACTATTGAGTACGCATACCATATCCGTCCGTCCGTCCGTCCGTCCGTCCGTTCATTGTCTATCTGTATGCTGCAGCGTCGTCGTGGCGGGTGGGAGGCTGGCTTATCGTGTGTACAGCCCATTCTGCCCTCGCTGCCCGGCGCAACACCAACACCAACACCAACACTTGCAACTTGCAACCAACTTGCGCGCAATGGCGTAATTTATGTTCATTACCTTTGAGGTCGTTCGTTACTCGCTGGCGCGCTGCAACATCGTGCAACGTGGCAACTGCGTTCTCAGCTGTATGCGTCGTCGATGTTGTTGTAGTTGTCGTTATTGTTGTTGCTGTTGCAGCCTGTTTTCTTTATTGATATCAGTAAATTTAGATTTGATGTGAATGCGCGCGCAAGGTGTCAAATGCTGAGTGTGGACGCCGCCAACCACAATACACACACGCACACGCATCCATGCTTACATACATACATACATACATACATACATATCTATGCCACCGCTGTCCAGTCAATGGGGGCCCAGAAAGTGGTCACCTATGCTGCTGGCGGTCGGTCCATTGTGCGGCAAAGGCATGCATTTTGTCTCTATGTTTGGCTGGTCTGGTCTGTTTGTATGTATGTATGTATGTATGCCTCGCCGCCGTCCATTGCATCTACAGTAAATTATTTGAATTACTTAATTATGTAAGCGAAATCAAAGCACTTGCAGGCCACGTATGAGCGCATGCATGCATGTGTGTGTGTGTGTGTGTCTACTTTTTTGCAAATGATATTTACCAATAAGAAGTTATAGAGCACTTTATAGCGACAACAATGGCAACAACAACAACAACAATCGCCGCACGCTACCAGCTGCAACAAGTAGTGGCGCAATGCATATTTGCGACATGTGGCTGATTTTTCTTACATTTCGTTATGTACATACATATGTATTTCCAACATGTTGTTGTTGTAATTGTCACTTCGCTGTAAATCGAAGTTATTTGTTATTTATTTGGTTAGCCGGAAATATTGACACTACTATTGGCCATTTATGAGTTTAGAAAATATTTTTATTGATTTTAGTTTATATATTTGATTTTTTTTTTTTTTGTGGTGCTTTTGTTTATCGCACTCGAATTACGGTCTGGGAATGTGGTTTGATTTTCCGTTGGACTACAAATGCCGATAAAGTTATGTGGGCAGTGGGAAAGGTAGCTCGGTTAATTAATTGGGGCCACTTTTAATGCAACCAAAAAACGATGGAGAGGAAGTAGCTGCATTTCTTTGTATGGTTTACAACTTCTTGGATCCGAAGAAAAGATCTTTGGCAAAAGGAATAGAGGTACAAAACAGAAAGGAATAAAACGGTTACTAAAATTAATTTCTAAATATGTATGTATGTAGTTCTACATACATAATTATACTGACTAGGAGCGCCAGTTACTGTCGAAATTCTACTATTTGTCTAGTTTTTTAGAACACTTGAAGAGGTTTTCTAACTTAGCACGTCGTTTAACTTATAAGATACAAAATTACTTACCGCAAAATTTCCTTCTTTGGAACTAAAAAGTGACTACAATTTTTTTAGACCTTTAAAAGTCTTTCGAGGACTTTGGCAGGACTTGAAATTGACCCGATACATTGTAGTTCGATATCGAAAATTTAATGAGTTTCAAAATCACTAAAATCTGATAGCTCAATAAAATTCGATTGCTTGACTAATTTCGATAACTGTACGTTTCGAGGAATCGACAAATTTCGAAATTTTAATAGCCTCATATTTTGCGAAACTATTGACAAATTTCGATAACTCGTGATAACTCGATTAACTTATATAACCTTGAAATTTCGATAACTCGATATGTTTAGAAAATTCCAAAAACTTCGATTCGACAATTTCAGTAAATCAATAAATATCGATAATTCGATAAGTAAAAAGAAATCGATGCGTTACGATAACTCTATAGACTTCGTTAACTCTATAAATAATGATAATTTAATAAATATGTATTAACTTGATAAATTTCATTAACTTGGCAGATTTCGATAATCCCATAAATTTTTATGGCTCGATAACTGTACATAACATATACAATAATGAACTCTGTGTATTAGGTTTGTTCCACAAGCTACTCGAAGTCACTTCGAGTTGCACATACATATGTACGTGCTCCACAAGTAACTTTTACAGTTCATTTGATATACGCTGACAGTTTGAACTTTGCTCGAGTTTTTCTACAAGTAACATGTGGAACAAACCTATTGTGCTTGAATAAATATTATAAGTAGTATGCATTGGATTTTGACTCCTTACGATGAAAGGATTGCGTGCAGTTTAGAATTTAAGTTTTCAACTAACATTTAACATTTAATATCAAGTTCTATATGTGCACATTAAATGATTCAATTCATTTTTGAACCTATAATAAACGTTCAAAAATTTTATTCAACAAGGTCCTCATTTTTTCTAAAATACAAAACAATGAATCACAGATTATCGATTAAAACTGAGAAAAAAATCGGATTTCCGTGAATACCCTTCGCTTTTCTCCGCTTTGGCAAAATAATTCAATGAATATTATCGGAGAACGAGTCAGAGAACGCAAATAAACAATAGCAAACGTTTCGGTGTCGTTTAGTTACGCTCATACAAGGTAACGAAACATAACAGATTCAAATCCCTCGGAAGCATTTTAAAGAGTATTACCGCATCGCGATTTACATACCATACGTAGATCTTTTCGGGGACCGGTATACTTTGTCTAATTTTGCTTGCCTTTTTCCTGACAAAACACCAAATTTTGATGAATTATTTTGTTGTGAACTATTTGAGAAATATATGTATGTATACCCATTTTACAGGATTCGGTGCCAGAAATATGGACAAGTGAAGTTTAGCTTTGGAGAAAACGCTGTACTGGTATAAAATTTCAAAATTTATTTGAAGCTTTGGATATTTGTAACTCCGGTGCTTTTCCAATGTTCATCAAGTACTTATACGGTGTTCGCATGAGGCGATTTTACAGGCAACTTTCTGTTGAAAGCAAAAATCGTCTGGTGTGAAGGACCTTTCAACTAATCACTTCCAATATTGGAAGTTGGGGTGCAGCCAACTTTTGATTGACTTTTTTTGGGAACATTTTCAACTTTGCGCCGCTTAAAAACTTATTTGAGCTCAACTAGGCAAGAAGATCGCCACAATGTGCTAGCTTCTCTCAATATTCATCGCATTCGGGATTTTAATGATAACTCAGTATTAAAAGAATTTGTATTTGTATTTTATTTGTATCGGCGAATTGCATTATTGAAAGCAGAATAATTTAGTAAATAACGCACATTATGGAGCTGGTAAACTATCGATGGCACTATCGATAGTATCGATGGTTTTTGACTATCGGATGGTTTTGTAAGCACTATCGATAGTTTTCACTAATACATACATACACACATTATTCAGTAAGAGTAAAAGCCGGTACCTGTTTCGTCTTGTGAGTCGGAAAGGACATTAAGCAAAGTAGGGAAAATAATTTCAAAGCGCAGATGCTGCTTCAAGCCAAAAATCGTTGATAAACGTTTGTTTCTTAACAAAAATATTTACATATGTTAGCAATTCTGATCTCATTTTCAATAAAAGTTGTTATTGTTTAATTCTTGGACTTTTTTAATTGTATCGATACTATCGATGGTTGTGACTATCGACTATCGAAATTTTTCCAGCTCTAGGACATTTCGACTTTTTTTGAGTTGTGGTGAATTATATCCATAATTAAATAAAATTAATTAGCCTTATCCTGAGTTTCGCCTGAAAGAATTCACCCGAAAAATGTTCATTCGCCCATTGTAAAAACACGGAAACAAAACATTATTTCGTAAGAGTGAAAGCCGGTACCTTAAATGTTCTCTGTCTCATTTACAGGATTTTGGAGGAATTTGGAGTACGGGAACATTTTTCCTGGGCTATTATATTCGGAGTCGACTTGGGACCAATTATCGGTTTGGGACCAAATGCACTCCCGGAAGTACAGGATGAGAGTATGGAGAGAAAAGTACTGATAACCCGGTACCAACTTTAAAGCTGAAATTAGTCAGGAACGCAGAACGTATACTTAAACGCAGCGTGTACACACAGAATTTGCTCGATTACTGGAGCCCTCAGTGTTACATACTACAGTGTTGCCACTCATCAATGCCTTTTCATAAACTTACCTTTTCAACTACAATTTTTCGTGCTATAATAGATCGCAGCTAAATATGAACTACTTAGTTTCCAACAAAAAAAACTCAGTCAATAGTAAATTTAAAATATTTTAAACGTATTTTGAATAGGAAATTATAACTTTTATACCTTCTGCAAAACTGGCGAAGTGGCAACCATCTATAGAAGGAAGAAATCAGCTGACACGGAAAAATCTAAATTCCGCAGATTTCTGCGCTACGGGCTACAACTACAGAAACATTCTGTGGTGTTGAGCTTTCAATTACATTTCGATCTGGTAAGACAGATCGTGGTTTACGTAGGTTTACGTTCTTGACTAATTTCAGCTTAAGGACCCGTGTTAATTGCCTTTTCTCTCCTTGCTCTCGCCTTGTACTTCCGGGTGCATTTCGTCCCTAGACTCAAACCGATATTTAGTTCCAAACCGCTTCCGGATGAATTTAATATCCCAAACGGGCAACCCTACAGAGGACGTCATTTTGACATATAACAGTGCGGCCAAACTGCATGAAACGTTGCAAATTGTCAAATTTAGTGCGATTTCTTTATGTACTCCTTGGATTTGGTGAGAAATTATTAAAAATCGAGTAAAATTGTGATTAAAGTAGAAAGTTAGTTTTCTGCATCGCCAACGAGCAGAAAATTTGCAAATTTAACCGATTTTGCGAGAAAAGTGCAGCCGCCGCCAGCGACGCCGCAGCCGCAATCGTGTTTTCACAGCGTAAGATGGGAAGCAGGTGTCTTAACAGATAAGCAACGTCTGGAAGCAAAATTCCTTGCTTTTAAGAACGCAGACAAAGAAAAAGCAACAATAAAAACATAACTACAGCCGTGAAGAAAAAATATCGCACGCCAAATCGACAGCCGACACCGCCGAGCTGGGACTACGACGTCGACACACAAAAAGCAACAACAACAACATCTACAAAAGCAGAAAGGCATACACGCGAAACGACGAAAACTGCACTAAAATGCTCATATTGCAAAGCTAAATACTACTTTGCCACTTTTCCCCGCAATTTCTTTGCATAATTTAAAACTTTCTTACGTCGTTTTTGAATACTTCCTGTGCCTCTCCTAAGTGCACGCTGCTTGTCGCCGTCAAGTGATTGCCGCATACCTATCGACTCACCCGTCGACCTACGTAAGTACATATCGCTGTAAAACGCTAGTATGATGAGTGTGACGCCCACCCTTTGGAGCGCCATCAAACTCGTCAAAATTCTATATGGATTTTTATTTATTACTCTTCTCAAAATTGGTCACAATTTAAATGTTGTCCTTTTTGCAGTTACAACCCATTTGACAAATTTGGTACTTCCGTTGGTTAAATTTCCACACGTTTTTCCCAAATTGTATTTTGCCGATTCTGTCCAGCGTTCTCGAAGAGTTTCTGCTATATAAAGAGATTATACATTTTTGGTAACTAAATTCGGCTTAGGAACTTAGTTAAAGGTAAGTAAATTATAATCATTAAATCTCTAGCCACATAACACAGAATATTCATATACATAGGTATTTATGTATAAGAAAATATGTGTGCACATATACACGCACTTTCTCATTTAGCAGACTTTAGTCACGTGCAATAGATTGCATACCCATTACAAAATTAATTAATTAAACAAACAATGGCAGAGGTCAGGCTCTTATCTTCGTCGATGCAAATATTTTATAAATATCCGAGGGGCATCAATTGCAGAGACTTGGGAGCCGGTTATTAAATGTTTGCTAACAAATGTATTTCAGCGTTCTGAAATGTAAACCTAATAAAAAAGCGGATCCAACAACAACCAATACTTTTTATACCCGAGCACATTTGTGCACAAGGGTATTATAACTTTGTTCACATAACGGTTGTTTGTAACAGGCAAAATAATCGAGATAGACGTAGACAAATGTGTATGTACATAAAAGATCAGAATGAAAAAAGAAATCGATTAAGCGGTGGCTGTCTGTCCGTCCGTCCGTCTGTGCACACGTTAACTCGAGTAAAAATTGACATATCTTAACGAAAGTTTTCTACTTATTTTCAACGTAGGACGGATGGTATTGAAAATGGGAAAAATCGGACAATAACCGCGCCTACCTCCCATATAACGGTAGTTTTGAGAAATACGAAAACTGCGATATTTTAGTAACTACTGAAGCTTATTCACTCAAAATTGATATTTACAATCACATTTAGGCGAAAAAAAGAATATTATACATTTTTGGAAAATGGGCGTAGCCACGCCCACTTATGAATACACGTGTATATCTTGGGAACCGCTCCACCAATTTCTCCCAAACTTGGCACGGTACAACATACCCAATTATTAAAAATTTTTAATATCGGACAATAACCACGCCCACATCCCATATAACGGTAATTTAGAGAAATACGAAATCTTCGATAAATCAGAAAATACCGAAGTTAATTTATTCAAAATTGATGTTTGCAATAATTCTCTGGCACAAAATACGTTTATGATTAGTTTTGGAAAATGGGCGTGGCACCGCCCACCTATGATCACATATATGTATGTATCTCGGTAACCTTTCGACCAATATATACCAAACTCGGTATGGTTATTATGCTTGCCACATAAAAGCAATACGTTTAAAATTATTGAAATCGGACTAAAGTTACGCCCTCTTTTTATATAACGGTAAGTTTCATAAATGCTTGAAACTTCGATATTTCGAAATCAAAGAACGCCAATTTACACAAATTCGATACTAACAACATTCCCCTAAAAAAAGTAATATGGAATTTCGGAGAATACATAAGTTTATCGAAGATGATTGAAATAGGGATGCACCCCTGCTTACAATGTAGCAGGTGTTTTCGGAATGGTGAAAAAAACTATATTTGCTACTTGCGCCGGGTATCTAATGTTCGGCTCCGCCCTAACTTAGACTTTTTTACTTGTTTTTCTTAATATTGTTATTGAGCTTGGTACCACGATTCTGTTTACTAGGAAAAATGGAAAAAGCAACAAAGTCTAAGCGGTAGAAGTTATAGCAGCTAACCAATACTTTTAGCTCCAGATTCTTGTTGTGGTGTGCAATAAAAGATAACTAAGTAAACACACTCGTTCACACAAACCAATGTGCTCCTACATGTTTAGTAGCAGTTAAATTATAAACCTATAAATGGTCGAATGCCCAAATTTTCCTTGGTGTTATCAGAGACTACCAAATCATTGTCATAAATGTTGAGCTCCCGAATTCTATATGTGTCTGCATACAGCTGTATACACATACAAAGTAATGTTAAAATGAAACAATAGCAACGATTGCGAAAAACGTGCTTGTCAGCAGCAATTTCAGCGATGGTGATAAGAATTTTATGTACATAATTTTCTTCATATACTTATTTTTTGTTGTATTTATTTCATTTCCTTTTATTAAATATACTATATTAGTACTCCAGCAATTTTCTTCATTTTAGTACAACAAATTTTATATAATAATAACAAAAATATTGCTTAATTGCAGATGGTCAAGGAGAAGCCCAATTCTACACGAATTTATGATAAGGATGGCTTTCGCCGTCGTGCTGCTTGCATTTGCGTGCGCTCGGATGCCGAAGCGGAGGTGAAATAGCAATGTCATAATAAATGCCATAAACTTAGAAGATTTATATTTGCATGTCTACTTAATAAATGTAGGTGCTCTTGGTGACGTCTTCGCGTCGTCCAGAGCTATGGATCGTGCCTGGTGGTGGTGTTGAGCCGGAGGAAGAACCATCGGTTACGGCTGTGCGTGAAGTGCTCGAAGAGGCCGGGGTCGTTGGCAAGCTTGGCAGATGCTTGGGCGTGTTCGAGGTGGGTATAAATGCCACATTGATAATATTGAGTTGTATTAAACAAATTTTGTATGTTACATAGAATCGCGAACATATGCATCGCACCGAAGTCTTTGTAATGACTGTCACCAATGAGCTTGAAGAGTGGGAGGACTCGCGTAGCATTGGCCGAAAACGTCAATGGTTTTCCATTGACGATGCGTTGACACAATTGGCACTACATAAACCGACGCAGAGGCACTATCTAATGCAACTTAGGCATTCAAAGAATAATACGACCCCTTCGGGCTCACCGCCAGTCACTCCTACAGAGACATAAGAATAAAGGAGACTCTAATACACATACAGACGTAGATGCAGTGCAACTATGTTGGCGGAACACGTGGATCGTAGACTTAAAGTGACTCCCACACTCACACACACACACTTACACTTACACTTACACTAAATTAACATAAACGCATTCTAATTAAGAAAGTGTTTGCACGCATAACTAAGCGGGCCGTCAGACACTATACACTCTGCAGAGCACGATACACAATAATAAACTTTGATTACGAATTGTTTGGGAATTTGAACCCTATTCACACTCATTCAAATTTACTTTTATATCAGAAATGCATTCAAACATCCGCATACATAGAACATCGTCATCACTAATTACGCAGTAAAGTGGAATTGCAATATGCAACATCGTTATAAGTTTAAAAATTATTGCAAATATATATAGGCATCCATAGACTTCTCAAATTATGCTCCACATCAATAAATAATGTTCATTAATAACGTTAAGATACTTTTTAATACTGTAATGAAAATTGTAATGATTAAGTTAACCAAAAAGTGAAATTAAAAAAATCTGATTGCAAATTTTCTGACTAAAAGAGCATGGAAGTTGACTTTGAAGTTCGCTTTAACTAAAAAGCAGTTTTGGTTTGAAGATAGTTTGGAGTTTCACGTAAAATACATACCTACATAGAGATATTTTCATATAATATAAAAGTCGAGATCGAAAATAAATAAGGCAAAGAACACTCTGATAACGAAATTGACGCAACTTAAAAAAAGTTTAACTGAAACTTGAAAACTGGCACATATTTGTACATTTCTACTTAGATTTTCTACTATTTTATAATTTAAATGAAACGAAAAGAAACACAAATGCTTATATCTACTTACTATTGTAATGTACATTAAAGTTGCGCCAAACTGCTTTTTGCGGAAGCAATGGAATTACAGAAATTGTGTAATCAAAATTCTAAACAAAAGCAACAATTATAAAAACTAAACTAATTATGAAATTACAAACACGTCTAAAAATAAGGCTTCAGGCAAATATGTGTAGTTGCGTACAAAAAAAAAATGGTGTGCTGTTTGTAGATAATTGATTTCCCGATGAGTTTTAGTTTTGTTATATTTTGACGCTTAATGCACCAGTTGCCTTCCGTGTTGAATATGTAGATTGTCTGTAAGTCTCCACAAAGGATTTCAAACGCCTTTTTTTGTTTATTAAATATGAAACATCTTTACTTTCGATGCCCGCCTGCGCGTTAGACAGAAACAACTGCTTCGCGCCATATTTATTTACGCCATTTAGCATCTTCGACTTCATGTTCCACAAGGTGATTCTTCGGGCATGGGCTGTTAGCTTCTACCGGCTACACTTCGTTTATTTGCTGCTTTTTTCATTTACGTGAAGCGTGAAAAATTAAGTTTTTCCTATTTAAAGCACGTTACTAATCGCAGTCACGGACATTGTTATGGAAGAAAAAAGTAATTTCTTATTTAAATGTAAACGATAAATCATAAACAATAACATTAAATCAGAAACGTTTTAAATAATGTAAAGGAAAATCGTAATAAGAATAACAGTAAATTATAAGACAAAAATATCTGTTATATTAAAACAAAAAACCAAACAAAATTTATTGTGAATGTAAAACCAGAAATAATAAACATGAAACAAATAGTACGCCCGCTTTAGTTTTTCTACAATGATTTAATTTCAATGTAAAAATTTTAATTTCTGTAAATAAAGTAATATTGGCAATTTTGAAGCTTTACAAAACTTTTACAATACGAGTATATGTATGATTTGTACGTATGTGTTGGTGTATGGCACCGATTACTTTAATGCAAATATAATTATTACATATATGTATGTATTTCGCTATCCACAGGACACACTTTTTAATCGTTCCAACGAATCTTTGATCTTGGCTGCAAGCACTTCTCTTTATAGAGCTCCAACACTGCAGGCTGCATTTTTAATTCGGGGAAATGGTACGGATACTCCATGACATAATCGCAAAAGATCGCTAAATTATCATTCTTTTGAGCGCCGTTACAGATGTGCTTCCGCTTGTCGCAGCTACCGTGGCATTGATGCCAGTCGCAATCTTCATCGCGCGAACAGGGCTGACCGCTAGCTAAACGCTTATTCACTTGGGTCTCTGCCGCTATATGATTGGCGTTGAAAGCTTTCAATCTGAAACAAGAAGAAGGTATATTTTAATGAGCTTTATGAATGTATTCAATACTAAAATAAGAGTACCTGGAATCAGTTGTGAAGCCAAAATTATATAAATCAATTTTGCAGATTTTCAAGGGGTCCGGTCTGATCATATCCAAACGCATAATATAATTTAATAGCCTCTTGAAGAGCATTTGCTCTGGCGGACTGTTAAGGCTATAGTGAAGGTAATAAGTAATATATTTTATAAATATTTAAATGCGGTGGTTTCAACAAATCAGAATCTTTAAAACATTTTTGGGTATGCAGTTGTATGGCCCGTATAATTTTGGTCTAATTAAGTGCAAGTTTCTTGCTATGTAAAAAAAAAACGATAAAATGTGAAGGTGCAGATTAAAAAGTTTAACTTTTTTTAAAACTTCCTAAAATTTTTTATATGGTTTTGGTTAAAGCTTGGAAAATATTTTTATATGCAAAAAAACACCCCTATTGCGAGTGTCAACTAATAGTAGATAAGCGACTTATATTAGATGTACATTACTTACAAAAATCGCGTGAAGCTGTTTCGAAGCTCTAGTGGCTTCAAATGCTCTACAATATAAACTGGACCGCACGCACCTCCTATCGTAGAAAAGAGACCGTCGTCATCGAACAATTTGCCCATCAAATAGTTATTGTCCTTGAAAAGTCGCCAGAAGTTTAGCATTTGATCGGGGTTACTTTCATCGATTTCTTGATTAATCAACAATTTTATCTGCCATAAATAAAGAGAAAATTATTATCAATCGTACAAAGATTTGTTTATTATGCTAGCACTTTAAATGCATAATAATCTGAGAGAAATAAATTCAGAGGCTAAAAAAAAAACGGCTGAAACAAATGCATTGAAAGAAAATGTGCGCCTTGCGGTATCATTGCGGATATTTATGCATTTGTGTGCCTTAGTTAGTTTGTTAAAATATTTTTTTTTAAATTTATTTTGTATTGAGCCTCAGAAAAAAGCTCACCATATTGTCCTCCAACGTAACGTTGTAGTTGATTAAAATGTGCAATTTTACAATATGATAAAAATCATCGATTTTTGGATATCTAAGATTCCCTCTTTTGTCACTCCATGCTAAATCTTCAACATATATTCTATCTGCCCGCTGCAATTCATTTGGATTAATACAATTACATTGATTTATTTGATGAAAAATTTAGTCTACTGGGCACACTTACCCTAAATTCAATAACATCACCATTTTTCTGGGCAGTGATAATGCCCGAGTCAGTTATAGAGTTTGGACAATTGAAATTCTCAAAGGGCGTCTGCTCGCTGCAAAGTTCCTCACACAGTGAACCGCTATATTTGTGCCTTTCGTACATCTTGCACTGGGGAAGAGTTTCAATCATCCATTCAATCGAAATTTGGTAGTAATTTACACTTACCATGTGATTAATGGTAAGGCTTTTTTTGAAAATACACTCCATGCTGAATATGCTTAGCAAGCAGCCCAAAACTAGCAATGGGACCAAAAGCCACATTAGATTTTCCTTCAATCGTGTTTTCCGCCTCCAGCTAAAGAAGAGCATTTCGAGTGTGTGTGTGTGTTACTACTAAAACTCTTGCGTTATTTAAGTAATTTAACAAATTTAATGTTGGCGCTTTTTTTTTTTATTGCAAACTTTTATTTTGGAAATCTCAAAACCCAACTATTCACTTTAGTTTGCTAGCACTTTTTGCAAAGAAGGCAGTAAGTATGTTTTGACAAAAGCGAGACATGCGCAATAGTTACGGTGACCAACCGTCCTGTATTATACGGGGCATTCCTCTTTTTTGACCAATTGCCCTGGTAATTTATTTATGTCATCGATGGTCTTCGGGTCAAATTTGACCCATTTGAATAAGAAAATCATTTTTCCCCGGAAACTTTTATTCCAATTGGAAACTAAAGCCATACTTATGATCTTGGGCTTATATATGTATTTACTATTTTTCCAGTTATAAATTTTTTAACACATAAGATCTTCGGGTCAAATTTGAATCGATTAGGGCTGTGCGATTAATTGATTACTCAAAATTTTAATTAATTATTAAGTAAATAACTCAATTATTCGATTAATTGGAAATTATGATTACTCAAAAGTTCAGTTACTCGAGTAATCAAGATTTTTGATTAACCAAAAACAACAATATTTGAGTAAGTTGCTTTATGATTAATCAACATTTCGAGTAAAATGAGTAATCAACATTTCAACTCTTTACATATGTATAAAGTAGTTAAAGTTCCTTGATACTTGGAAAACAACGTTTCTGTTTTCAAAAATTAAAACAAAAAATTTTTTTCATATACAGAATGTAAAAAAGAAAATAAGCATTTTCCAAAGCAAACTCTTTTAACGAGTAAAATTATTATTTTTGAGTAATCATATTTCAAGTAACTCGATTAATCATCGTTTTGAGTAATCAAAATCTTGATTACTCTAGTAATTGATTAACCGAATAATTGATTAACCAACTTGCTCGAGTAATCGAATAATCGCACAGCCCTAGAATCGATATAAACAACTTGGCTTTTTTTATAGCCGAGCGCACTTGTGCACAAGGGTATTATAACTTTGTTCACATAACGGTTGTTTGCAAACAGGCAAAACGAATCGAGATAGATTTCGACAAATGTATACATAAATGATCAGAAAAGAAAAAGAATTCGATTAAGAGGTGGCCGTCTGTCCGTCTGTCTGTGCACACGATAACTCGAGTAAAAATTGAGATATCTTAACGAAAACTTGGTACGTGTACTTCTGTCGGGCGTAGGACGGATGGTATTGAAAATGGGCAAAATCGGACAATAACCACGCCTACCTCCCATGTAACGGTAATTTTCAGAAATACGAAAACTGCGATATTTTAGTAACTACTGAAGATTATTCACTCAAAATTAATATTTACAATAATTTTTAGACGAAAAATAAGGATATTAAAAATTTTTGGAAAATGGGCGTAGCCACACCCGCTTATGGTTACATTTGTATATCTTGGTAACCGCTGCACCAATTTTTTCCAAACTTGGCACAGTTGTTGGCCCTGCCACAGCATACTAAATGGCCGAAAATTTTTAAAATCGGACAATAACACAGGCCGACATTTTTCAGACCCAGAATCAGTTTTGCTCGATTGGCTCAGGTTTTCGAGATATTTAAGCCTAAACATGCGAAAACCCTGACTTTTTGCTATATTCGTCATGTATATTCATCAAAAATCGTTCATTTTTTTAGAAAATTTAATAAACCATTTGAAAGTAAAATATTTCCCCTTAATAATGCTGTTTAACTCAACGAGATATCTTGTTTTAAACCTGAGATATTGACCATTGAAGTTTATGAGTTTTGCGACATTACATCTTTGCACAAATGCTTGAAAGATACAACACGAACAGAAACAGATTTGTGGTATACGTTTAGGCGTCTTTATTTACATAATGAATGTATGTGTATATTATCATGTGGTTACACAGGGATGTGGGATCCCATATTTATAACGGTAATTTGGAGAAATATGAAATCTTCGATAAATCAGTAAATATTAAAGCTAATTTATTCAAAATTGATGCTTGCAAAAATTCTTTACCAAGACGTTTACGTTTATGATAAAATTTTGGAAAATGGGCGTGGCACCGCCCACTTATGATCACATATATGTATCTCGGTAACCGTTCTACCAATTTGTACGAAACTCGGTATTTTTATTGTGCTTGCCACATAAAAGCAAAACGTTGAAATCGGACTAAAATTACGGCCGCTTGTCATATAACGGTAAATTTCAGAAATGCTTGAAACTTCAATATTTCGAAATTTAAGGACGCTAATTTAATCAAAATTGATACACGGCTTACCATGTAACGGGCAAAAAAGAAGACTACTCAAAAACGCGAATTTTTGGTATATTTCAGACCTTGTGTGGTAGATGCTCAAAAAATTTTTAGGGGCCTGTTGAAGGCACGTAATAAAAGCGGCATTACTGTCGTACTGATGAAAAACGGCAACATTGTTGCAACTGCCCAACTGATAATACATTGCTAGAAATTCACACAGAACGCGATACTTTAATAATTCGCGCAACACTGCGGTTGTGATTGAAACTCGAACCAGCTCTAGATCTACCACAATATGGTAGAAGTCTGATCTTTAATCTGAATGCCTGTGGTTCGAATCAGGGATTACATACAGTGACCAAAATATAAATTAGTACTCGATATTTTAGCAAGGTTTGGCTATTTTCTTTTGTTTATTTAATGCTTATTATTTTTTTTTTATGAAAGTAAAGCTCTCTTCCTAACAAAACCCATATGAATAAAAATTTCCGACTTTCTGCAAAAACGATGATAATTAATTCTGCAAAGTTTCACCAATATTTAAAACTTCTTAATCAGAATCTGTATAAAAAAATTGGTTTGCAGTTTTGTAGCTTATTAAAATTGAGTATATAATAAAGTGCAATGCGCTGCCCATTTGCTTCCATATCAAAAAATTGTCGAACATGCAGTTGAAAAATTTTGCGGGATAAAAATCTCGAAAGAATATCCTACAAATTTGTGATGTTATGTAAGAATGCTGTTTGAGGGCTAAAAGACCTGGGATCATTGTGGAAAAAAATTTAGAAAATAATTTTTTTTTTGTCCCGTATTCGACTCTCTTAAATATGGTCACCGTAGCAATAGTCCACTGTTATATCTTCTTCGTCTATATTTATCTTATTGGATAGTTGATAATTGCTTGTGTATGCATCAGTATACAAATCGTTAAAGAGTTTGAGGAAATGCTTCTGGAGTAGTGATAGCACTGGCCAGATACATATGTATATGTACAAAAATGGTTATGTTTATGTAGACCCGACTGGACTGTCGGGGGAACGGTTATTAAATGGTTTGTGGCAACATGACATGTCCATTCGGAAGAACCAATTTTCAATTACTCTTTCCAGCATTACGCGACTTTTGAATTCACATATGTAGCTCAAAAAAAAATATTTTGAAAAAAAAAATTTACTTACCTGCGTCTGGCTCCACTCAGTCAGACCTATACAAATATCCTACGTGGATAATACTGGTTAAAGGATAATAATGACCTTATCCTGTGGCTCTCTGACCCCAAAGGCATACAATGCGGCATGCAGAAACAAAAATTGATAATTTCTGGCCTATTTTTCACAACTGGGAGGCTGAAATTTGCCAAAGCTTCGTTTATTTTGATGTATGTATTTTATATTTTTCAAGCAATATATGTAATAAATAGTTTGGTGATGATTTATTTACGCTTTGCTAGTATTTTAAATGATTTAATTAATAGCAAGAGCAATTAATTATACATTAGTATAATACATATGTACATATGTACATATAATCACAATTTGAAAAACTGTGGAATTTTTATTAGGCTTACGAATATACGTTTCTTTTTAATATTTTCGCGCTAATCTGCAATTGATCGTAGGTGGAACTCGCAACGGGCTCCATGCGATAGTTGTGGTCGCTTTGAGTTCTGCCTCTCTTGCAGGACTGAATGTAGCATATTTGTAAGTATGTTTTGGTAGTGGTAGAACAAGTCGAAACCTTTAAAAGTTCCATCTTTAAAGAGTGTTCTATTTCGATATCTAAATAAATCTTTGAGAATTTAGAAATAATTCCGTACACCATAAATTATATCAAAGAAGAGATTTGGCTGTTACTGAAATTAACCAAAACGTTTCGCTTTTCCTACTGGGTAAATGTACGTATCGCATTGGACAATAATTAGAAAATATTTGTTATAGATGAATAAATTAAGCATTACCTACTTTCATTGCAAAAATATATTGACATTGTCATTGGAGACACGCGACGGTACGCACACTACTGGTATGTACAAAAATCCATTGCTTCTTATTATGCGCCTGTTACGAGTACCTAAACTCGTCCTGATTTGTCTTTTTTTATATGTGGTACGTATTATATGAATTTCTAAGTTTTTATGTCATCTAAATATTCATCAACAAAAAATATGTTCAGATGTACGGCGTTGAATCGAAAGCTGGTTTGAAGTTCACCAATGCCCACTGTGAGTCCTTCAACAAATCCTGGGCCGTAATAAATGAGTGTAGATTGCGAGCCATTAACCGATATGTCACGGTGTTGAATATAAATATAACATTCCTGCATCCTGCCTACCAAATAAAGGTATGAAATAGAGATGGACGCGTGAGTGATTTTGGCTCACGTTGATGGTTTTGTAAATCACGTACACCAACGTTCTGTTAATTTTTTTTTCAATCGCGCACGCTTTTTCAAGTACATTATAATTTTTTTTTAATTTATACTTTATATATATACAGTGCCGGATAAAAGTATTGCTACAGAGAATTTCTCGCAATATATGCAAAGTTTTTTATTATAATTTATTTTCGATAACTTTTTATAAAGATATAGTTCATCCTACACAAAAAAAATAAAAACAAAATCTCTAAACTTTGTGCATAATTAGGAAAATTCAATTCTATTCAGATTTTTTAGAAAAATTGCAAGTACGCTATTTTTTAGCAACCTCAAACTTGCACTTTGTTATACTAAAATTGAATGGGATATAAAACTGCATACTTACAATTTTTCCAAAAAATCTGAATAGAAAGCTGCAAAATAGTTTGCAAATTTATTGAAATTTCCTGAGTTTTGCAAAAAGCTTAGAGATTTTGTTTTTATGTTTTTTTGGTGTAGGATGAATTATATTTGTATAAAAAATTTTCGAAAATAAATTAGAACAAAAAACTTTACACAACTTTTTGCGAAAAATTATCTGTGCCAAGAAACTCTAGGAACATTTCTGCATCAAAAATAAAATTTTGAAAAAAATGTCGCTCACATCCTTTTTGGCGGTTAGGGCTCGATATGTGAAAATCACGTGATTGACGGAAAATCTAACTCACGCACGCTTACGCCAGCCAAAGTTTCAGCCACGCACGATCACGGAAGTTACGTGATTTGTCTCTCAAAACCACTCACGCTCACGCATGAAAAAGCGTGACACGACGTGTCACGTAGAAAATCACGTATTTTGCCCAGCTCTATTATGAAAGCGTAAACCATTTAATATACATAAGAACCATTTGTGGTATTTTTTCTTTCCAGCTGAGTTCATCTTTCATGAAGAAAGCCAATGGATATAAGCCATTTGTGTTGGATTTTACTGTTGACGCATGCGATTATATCGTCAAGAAGAATAATGCCATTGCCAATGTGGTATATTCGTTTTTCAAAAATTTCAGCAACATAAATCACACTTGCCCCTATTATGTAAGTTCGTTCGAATCAGGCACAAGTTTAAGTAAATTTGTAACGAAACTCGCTTTATTTTACAGGGGGATCAGTTGGTGCGAAACTTTTATCCCCGCTCTGATTTAATTAAATTGGTTTTTCCCAGCGGCGAATATGCTTTGCTGATGAACTGGTTCCTGGGTAAGGTGAAAACTTTTGTTACAAACATATATTTTACTTTTCATGGCTGAATTCAATCGCTAAGTATGTACATACTTACGCATAACTGTAGATCAGAAACCGTTATGTAAAACCTTTGTTTTTCCCAATAAAAGAAACTGACAGGAACTGTTTCGACGTTTTTGAACCAAGATTTTTTAACGGAGTCCAACCCAGAGATAATTTAGATAGGCCTTCTTAAGTGAATCCTTTCTGCAAGGCCTACCCAAGAAGGGCTGAAAAAAGGGCTTGCCTGCATGGCTTCTAGAAGGTCCATCTATTTACAATTAACGTGAATGCGTAAATTTATATTATTTAACATTATAAATAAATTTAAATTTGCATTTGAAATTGCAACAAAACATAATATGATATGAACCTTAAATAAATGCCTTAAAGAAGTATGATTTTTTGGAATTAAAGAAGCAGCTCCTCCAAAACTCCTTCTGAAATACGTCCTACAAAAGCCCTTCTGAAAGGCCCTCAATGGTAGCGAGAACAGAAGGCCCTCAATTTGTGCCTTTTGGAAGGCCTTCTAGCTCCTGAAATTATCTACTGGGAAGTCAATTTTGTTCAAAATTTAAAATTCAATTTAGTAGAATGGCAGGTAAGACGAAACTACATCGATTTTGCGTCTCTCCTAAACAATAAAAAAAAAATGGAGGTGGCACCTTTTCACTGTTAGGTGATTATAAATTTTTGGATTCTATTTGGTCCGCAAAATAGACCAATGCTGAATGTTCGGAAGCATCAGAGGGGGGAAAACTGTTTCATTGGAAACTGTAGGGCTGTTCAGTATGTTGTGGAAATGGTCTTGGATTTGCAGTTTTTAGCATTTCCAAATTTTTTGTTATAAATATTTTTTTTCAGTTTCATAGCAATTTAGTGGCGCATTTCAAGATCATTGAGCAAACTGTATTGGTCACAGTAGAACATTTAAAGTTGATATATATATTACAAATAACAAAATCAAAAACCTGTGCGGGTGCCCCGTTTGCTAAGATGACACAAATCTTAAATGGAAAGGAACCTACACCATGGATGGTAGGCGCTCTGAGTGCAGTTATAGTTCCACAAAAAAAAAAAAAAACAACACCATCGTAGCATATGACTTGTCGAGGCTCTGCGTCGCGGTTTAAAACCAAGAGATTTTTTTTCATGAATTTCTGTCGCCTACGCTTTTTTTTAGGAATTTCTGTTGCCACTTCTAATTCCAAGAGATCTGCCATCGTAAATTAAATATTTGTTCTCTATCGACTACCGTACTTTACGACTTCATGCAGCTGGGACGTAAGTTCTATGTGACGATCGTTCACACGTACAAGGACTTCCTTCCGAGCTCTGTTAATATTGAGCTAGCGACTCATCGTTTGACTGTCTAATGAAAAACTTGAATGAAATTGTTCTTAACGTATTTTTGTTTGTTTGTTTTTTATTTTTGTAATTTATTTTCTTTCATTTCTTTACTCGTTTTAAATTTCTTGCTAAATTGAGCAATTTTTATATAATTTATTTTCATATATTGTAATTTATTTATATGTGTTCATAATAATGATTTTGTTTTGTTCTCACTTCGTTACTAATTAATATTATTTGTTATGCCTAAAAAATTAATAATAAATTAAATTCATATACATAATTAATTATTTACGTGTGATTTTATTAAAGTCACTGTATTAACTCTTGTTTATATTTAATTACATCTTGCTTAATATTATTAGCTAGTAATAATATTTTTTATTTTTTTTTTGTATATCCGTATTTGCAATTTGGATACAGTTTACATGTTTCTGTTTTTGTTAATGGTTTTACTGCACGTTAAGCTGGTGAGAATGAATGCACTGGTCCCACTGGTCAACGAAATGGGCTCGTTGTGAAGAATATAAAAAATGTAACCTAAAAAAATTTAAGTGTTGCGATCAAAATCAATATTAAATTGGGATGGGACAGGAACCTTCTGGATTAAATGTTATTGAGTTTGTATTTTTTTATTTTAGTTTTATATTGTATTGACCACATGTTCGCGTATTTCATATTTCGTTTGTTTTCTTTGTCGTTATTGTTTTTTGTTTTGTATTTTTAATTGATTTAGCCTATTTTTTGCAGTTTCTTCATTCCACACTGCCGACAGTGCGAGAACTCCTTTGTTTCCTTAAATCTTTTTGTTTTTGTTTTTTTTTTGTGTTTAACATTTTCTATACATAATTCTATAAGGTATTTCCTTTATTAGTTAAATAATTATGTGTTCATTGAAATTACTTAAACTAAAATACGAGTACGTTTATGTTTTGATGAACATTAAAAATTGTTGTGTTTGCTTTTTTGCTATATCTATATATATGTACCTATATATATATATGTATGTATGTATATTCTAATCCAATCAACGCGAATGACTTAATCGTAAAATAATGATTTCTTTTATTTTTCGTTATGTACATTTAGAATAACACACAGCATTGTTTAGGTTCAGTCCCAAGGTCGCCCAGCTAAGCTGACGAGAGCGCGGGAAATCTAGAAACCTGACAACTGAAACGTTAAACGGAAATATTGTGGGTAAATTATGTAATATTTAGTGGCAAATGAAAAATGAGTTATTTATTTAATAAATTTCAATTCGTGGCCTTTTTGTAAACAGTAAAATAACATAAAATCTTCCCAGTTTTATTCAGCTTAGCTGTGCTACTTTGTAGGCTCAACCAGTCAATGCCGCAAGAGTCGATTTTCAATTTCTTCGAATATTATTTTTCTTAAATATTCCATTGCAATTACTTTATTTTATTTTTTATCTTCACAGTGTTAACGTTAGGTTTTGATTCAGTGTTTAAACTTACAAGATTTTTTAACTAATAGCCCAATTCTGTATCGCTGACAAAAATTTGTTTACTGACAAATTTAAACTTTTTCATAAATTTTTGCGTAATAAAAACTGTGACAAGAATTTGTCAGTGATACAGAATAGAGCTGTAAATTTCGTCTTCTAATTATTATTCGAAAAAAGTGGCTTGAAAGTCGAATGAATGTGCTATTGAAATAACAAAGTACATATAACTAAAGGAATGATGATTTTTTTGAAAAAAATTCAGAACTAAATTGATGTTTTGCAAAACTTTGTTCTCTTTGATCTAAAAAAGTTTTTCAACAAAATCACTAATGGAGTCAAATAAAAATTGCCAAAACCATTAGTGTCTCAGCAAATTTTTAGCTGGGTTTTAACGCAAATCTACGAATTTATCCAACGGTGGAATTTGGTAGAAAATGTGAGCGGGGAGGGCTGCATAGAGCTAAAAGAGTCCAAGACCCAGTTTCAAGTCAGGATTCCTATCAAAATTGAGAGAACCAGCCGCGGTCCAAAACGATTCATATAGTTTTTGCAACATTGTATTCCGAGGTTTTTGACCAGCATACACCGAGCTGACGAAGCACCTATATATTCCGGAGCAATCTGCATGATGCCACCAGGAACTCCACCATCATAGAGGAAACCAATTCGAGCTGAGGGCGTAGATGACTGCCGCGATGTCCAACGGTAGAGTTGGAGTGGTCCGAAACGGCCCCTTTTATTTCTAGAAGGGTGGCCCCATGGAGGCAACACAAAAACGTCATATATTCTTTTCCCATGGCACATACTGAGTTGCAAGAAAAAAAAACATGGCGCGTTCCAAAAAGTTTTTGTGAAAATAAGTGATAGCATAACAACCATCCCTAAATTGGCCCGTCAAACGACAAAGAACTGTCAAAAATTCTCAAAAATCCTCAATAACACGGCGCTGACGTCTTCGCTGACAAAAGTGACAACAAAGAAATGGGTCAAAAAATGTGAACAGTTTCTTTGGGGATAACTCACCCTACCAGCCGTTGCTTTAAGTGACAGGCTGTTGTATAAAAGAACGTTCTGTCGATGCACCTTAATTTAGTTGATATTTTCGTAATATAAACAGATGACTGAGTCTGAGACACTACCTTTCCGATGCAAAGTCCAAAGTGGTCCAAAGTTATGCGGTAACATACATAAAAAAAAAAAAATATCCCGACGAACTGATAAGCTCCTTCTCTTTAGTAAATCGGTTAAAAAAACAATAAAGTACTAAATAATGGCCAATTGCTTGTGACTTTTTTTCAGCTTCAAATCCCTTTTCAAAGAAAATATGTATGTATATATATATGTATGCTAGTATTTTTTTTCTATCATTGCTTATCTTTCGTTTAATTTTTATTAGTCGTTATTATTTTTATTAAACTATTTTTAATTATATTTAAGTGCAATAAAATTATACCGTTACGATTTACGTTCACTTTGCTAGTGATTAGTAAGTATTTTAATTATTTTGTATTTTGTATTTTGTTTTCTTTTTTTTTTATTTGCATTTTCATTAATTTCTTCATTTATTTCAATATGTACAAAAAGAACATAACATTGTTGTTGTTGTCGCTATTTTCACTTTAAAAACCTTTTTTGGCAGTGCATTGAAAATTTTAACTATATACGAAATGACTTAAATTATTGTAAATACGGTTAAATTTATGTGTGTTTTTTGTTTGTTTGTTTTTATGCATAATTTTTGCTGTTATTCTCTGGTCTGGTTTTTTTGTTTGTTTCTTTTAGGCTAATTGTGTTAATGTCATTTCACTAATTTTCTCATTTTGTTTGCATTGTTATTGTTGCTTCTGTTTGCGTTTAATTTCTGGTTAATTGTGGCGCTAATACATATTGTTGTTGTTGTTTTTTTTCATTCTATTTCTCTATTTATTTTCGTTTTATTACAATTGTTTCGCCTATTTATTTCATTATTTGTATTTGTTAATAACTACGATTATTGTTGCCACTATTATAAATTTTATTTTTATGTTCTTTTTTTTTTGTTTTTAATTTAGTATAATTTATCAACTTTCTATTTACAGACAGTAATTTTTCGCACAAGGTACATTCGATTTAAATTGTTTTTCCTTTTTTCAGTATTATTTAGTTTTTATTTTTTTTTATTTGTGTTTGCATGCTTTACTTTCTGCGCATTTTTCTCTCTTATTTGCTGATATTTTCGTTTAAATTTTACTTTAACAAATTTTCATTAAGTAAACTGAATACGTATGTACGCGTGTGTGTGTGTGTGTGTGTGTAAAGAAATGCAAAAGTGAGAAACATACAACAACAAATTGCTTGGTCGATGAAAACACAAGTTGCTCAAACCAATGATTTTGTTGATTTTTTTTTCTTTGCCTTTTTGTTTTTTTAATGGAAGACAGTAGTCGTATTTATAAAAAAAAATGTCACTTAAAAAATGCACACCAATTACAAACGCGAAATCCTTAAGTAAGTAATTCAATTGCGAGGAGTGCCTTTAAATGCGTGATGTGGCATGCGTGCGGTTGTGTGTGTGACTGTGAGTGTGCCTGTAAGTACCACACGTGTGTGTAGAGATGTGCGCGTGCGTGCGTGCTTGCGTGCGTGACAGTTTACCTCTCAACGTGGAGCATTGAATATTTGCTTCGTTATTTACTCATTTAAGGATGAATGAAGAGAAATCATTCGCTGTGTTTCTTTTAAAATTATAGGAACTTTGTAGCGTAAAATTGCGGTGTTGTGGTGAGTACGAAATACATAGATAGATATTTGTCTCAAAGCTTAAATATCATAAAAGTGAGCTCGAAGTGGACTACTTGAGTGGGCTTTATTGCATGCCACGGGGACTGGGTGTACATATCACTTTTTTTTTAATTATATATTTTTTTTGTTAAGAATCAGCTTAAAAATAACCTTTTAAAGAAGTTACTAATTTTGGCGTAGAATTTGTGTTGTTGTAACCTAAACTTTAAATTAACTCCTTTTTTTTGTAAAATAGTAAAACTGTGCACACCGGCCGTGCGTACTAAAGTTTTTTTTTTTATTATTTACTTACTTCGTTAGCTATGTATATGTTTTGCAAATGTTTTATCGCTTTTGTAATTGTATTTTTTTTTTTGTTTTAGATTTTCTCTTACTCATCTAGCAATTTTTTTTTTTATTGTTTACAATTTAGTTATTATCTATCCCCATTACGTTTGTTGAAGTTTAAAAAAAAAATAAAAATTGCGTAATTTCTAGATCCAATTAATATACATACGTACAACTGAAGTTGACTAAACATTTCTACACACTCACTTACCTACATATGCATGTGTCTTTATGAATCTACATTACCGTTATTTAGAATATTTTTTTGCAATCTCTTAAACATATTAATTTTATATCAAACACATACATACATACTCATATGTAAAAAAAACTAGTCATTAATGAAGCAAAACCTCGATACTCTTATTGAACGCGAAAACGCATTTGAAAATACTACGGATTATCGATAATCGACCAACAGTCGTTTATCTACTACTTACTAGTCGACACTCGCAATAGGATTGAATATTGTAAGAGACAGTAATGCTTATTCGAGGACAGACGCAGAAAATTTTAAAGCCCACGGAGCACAAAGAGCTGGTCGTAGATTGCACAGGTTAGAGCGATCAGCCCTCTCATCCTAGTAGACGAACCAATCCAAGGTCTTGGTAAAAGGACTTAGATGTTCAAGACTACGCCGATTACCCCATACAGAGGGCGCTGAATAGAGCCATTAGAGACGGTTTCTAGAATCACTTTTTCAGAGAGAGAAGATACTAACCTAAACAAGTCAAATATATAGGAATTTCCATTGTTGTCAAGCCCTCATTAAATTCTCACCTTCATACATACATTTAAAAGGCCAAGGTCTCCATTTGAACCTGCTGGAAGGTTATGGAGCAGAAGTGGTGCATAACAGACTGATTTTTAAGATAAGTGAAGTATTTCCAAGTACATCCTGGAAAAAGAAGACAGAAGTGTTGTACACGCACTGCCTAAAATTTCCACTCGACTAGTGATTAAAATTGAAAAACTTGGCAGCACTGCATAATTTTCGACGATTTTCGTCGTTTACTTATTTCGACAATGCCAATGTTGTCGAGTCGTAGATTTTGGCAGAATTTACGACTTTACCAATGAGGCTTATTGAACGGTCAGTACTCTCGAAGGATAGCCTAAAGGCAGTGGCACACGATTGGGCATTTGCCCAAATATCCCAAACACGAAAAACAATTTGTTCAAATTTTTCAATAGAAGTCCGCTGTATTGTGGCACTGGTGTGACTATACAAAAAACTGTCATCCCATTTTTTTAATTTGTACCAATGGACCAATCGTGCGACACTACCTTAAGTTGTTATAATGACGGCTTCAGAGTTAATCATGTTGTTGGAGCCTGATCCATCATATGTACGTACATATATTTTGTATCCCAGAATTCTTTTTTCGCATGGATGTGACAAGTAAATTTTGTTTCTCAAGCTGAGGCGCTTGCCATCGAACTCAGTCTGGGGTAGTATGTAGAAAGTGGGGCGACCAAGGATTCAACAGTGTAAAATCTAACAATAGGGCACCATTCCTCCAACTGATAGCACACGGAGTCAGCTCAAAGCGACTGTGGGATTGCCTTGTGCTTTTAACATCCGTCGCCGCCATGAACTGGGTTTACCTCCATGGAATTATGTTAGGCGAAATTCATATTTCCGGATGATAGAGGGAGCGGAACCTAACTGGACAAATAGGGAGGATAACAAAGAGTTTAAAACCTTCACCTAGCAAATATTAACCACAAGAGCCGAATAACTTCTTAACCTTGCCAGGCACGAAGTAAGAATTGTTACTAAGCACTGCATGCGTTTATCATATAAGAAATAATTTACTATGACTAGTGCAGATTAGGTCACGAAATAGAGGAGACACCAGAGCGCATTTTGCGACGCCGTGAAGCCCTTGGCGGGAAACTCGCGGCGTTCCTTAACGATACTTAGATGACAGAAGCCTTGTAACTCAACGGACGCCTGTAACAATAGATCATCCCTAGTCTTAATTTAAGACTGTCTCCTGCATTTCGTGACATAATCCAACATAACGCAATGGTTCACAATCTTAGCGAGAACAAATGGGATTTCAGAAACAGAGGAACTCATTTGATATTCGCTCGGGTGCTCGGGCTGTGAGTGATCTTTGCTGTGTGATATTTCTCACAAATATAATTTTTATCAACATTATCCGTCTTATAAAGTTAAAAAAAAAAAATGTGAAGTGGTTAGAGAAGTCAAATGAAAATATGTTTTCATACCTTTTCGAGGTATTGCTACAGAGCATGGTAAATGAAAATATTTTGGGAATTTTTCAGATTAATGGCATAGCTACAGTTTTTCGCAGGATGTTGAATTTTTTAAAATTCTTTTTCGTTTGGTTATTTTTCATGCGAGCTGGTGTGTGCGTGTTGCGTTGCCTTTATTCATACGCTTTTGAGTGGTGGATGCTAGTCTTGGATTTCGTTTCTAATTCAATTTAAAATTAATGTGCAATTTAACATATTCTTACTAGTACTGCAGTGAATTTTGCGCTCCTTGTTTTTTTTTTATTTCTTTTGTAGTTGTTTTTTTTTTACATATGTGTGAACTATCTGCCTGCTTCGCATTCGCTATTTTATTTAAATGTTTTTTTTTTCTCTTGATATAATTGGAAAGTACGTTTTTTATAAATATTTTTTTTTTTTGTTTTCTATGTTCTTTTGTATTTTTGCCTAATACAAATATATTTATTTATTGATTTTTTTCATTCTATTGGTTCTCACAATTTTCACCTATTTTATTATTTATTTTTTGTTGTCTTATTTATTTATTTATCTTTAATTAAAATAGTCGTTGTGTCACAATTTCGCAAATACTTTTTTCTATTTGCATTTTCGAGTGTTTTTCAGAGTTTTGCTTTTTTGTTTGAGTTTTGAGTTTTGCGTGCAAAACAGTCGTAGGTTGTGCATTTTGCGCGCCTGCCATATAATTTTTGGGGCGCACTGGGCCATTGCATGCACGCCCCTGCCTATACATATGTATGTATGTGTATGCTAATGTACGTTATCACTAAGTACGCGAGTGTTTGTGTGTGTGTGTAAGTAAGTGGCTAGACACGCCCCAATTAAAACGCAGCACCTATGCATGTACATATGTATGTATACGCATTCTGAATTTGGCATTGAATGGTGGGTGTTGCCACACTTCTGCATTTCTTACTGACATTCTTACTCGCATTTTGTTATAAGTTTACTTAGTTTTTTTTTTTTGGCAGTGAACAAAGTAAATAATTTACGCCTGCTTACACTTCTAATACATGCACTGCATTTCACATACATATGCGCACATAACGACCACCTTAGTACTTAGTAGTAGATCCAATTTCAAAATCCACAAGCAGCTCTGCTCTCTCCTCCTTACTAGCTTCTTATTTAGCTTTTTGCTCTTTATTGCTTTTCTAGATTGAATGCCGGTTGTGGTTTCTTTTTTCCAAGTTAACAAGTATGGATGCTGGTATGTATGTATGTACGTATGTGTGCACCACCAATGCCTAATGCTATTCGCTTCTCCGTTCCACCAACCGCACAGGGCGGGCTTCTGGTCGCAGCTTACCGCACGGCGTGGGCAATTGTTCGATTGTTGTGTACCTCTACGCGATGATCCTTGATTGTTTTTGAGCTCAAATTGAATGAATTAACTATTCTTACTGCTACTACTAAACTCTTAAGAATTTATATGTGATGAATGAGCGGAAAGGAGCGTCTCTTATAAATACTTATTTTTGTTGTTGTAGCTGTTATGAATTTGGCCGCTGGACGCGCTTGAAGTCGTAATTTCTCGGGATCATCTATCTATACATTTGCAATTGAAGAAGGGTTGAAACTGTTTGGTTGTCGCAAATTAAAAACCAAACATTTTGCGAAATTGCTCCAGATGCGTTGCTTCATTCACCGCCTTCGTCCAAACTAAAGGCGCGCCGGTTGAGCGCCACGACCACGTATCTTCTGCCGAAGTATGGAGAATCTACCGAAAACAGACGTAAACGCATACAAAATTGTGCTTTTCTTCGCTCCAGCGACTTTTCGTTCAAACGATCCGATCGGTGCTCGCTGCGTGATACACACTGCTCGCTTCGTGATCAGTTTCGCGGCGCCACCGATCCTCGAATCGTTCGATCGCTTGTTCACTTCTTGCGTAGGAATTCAGTGTATTTGCGTGCACGCTTGCGCACCTTATTGAGTGCATTGCTGATCTTAAAGCTTTCAGTGAAGTGATGATGATGATATTGTGCATGATTGTGATGATAATGACGGCGTGCATCGCTGCCGGGTGAGTGCTGTCGATCGTCGCCATGCGCCTGATAATGGAAGTGCGGATGATGAGTGTTCACATATGAGGCGGCTGCGGGATTTATGGAAGCCGACAGACATGGTGAGGAGGCTGGCGATGCGGGCGATAGGGGCGATCGAGGCGTGGGTGAGAATTGACAGCTGCCACGGCATGAAATCAAATTATGATCGGAAGCGGCATCAAAGGACTCGAATGACACACCAGTGGGTACGGGCGATTGTAGCAAGGAGGAGTGTTGGCCGTCGCTGGTGGCAGTGACGGTTGGTGAGCCGCAGGAGCTGCGCACATAACCGCCACCAACAGCTCCTTCTTCCATTTCTGCAGCACTGCCAGCAGCGCTGGTGAAGTCCTTGGGCAACTCACCAATGCCCAATGGCTTGTCGAAAACTGAATTCGCTGACATGTTGGTGTAGTCGTAGCTTGGGTAGGTAAAGGGTAGGTAACCGCTGTGATGAGCTTCGGTTGACACCGCCACTCCATCGCCGGCGCGTGTGGTGTTGATAAACTTCACTTCGTTGGCATTGCGCTCAGTGTAGTTGCCAAAGACGATATTAATGTTGTTCGTGCTGGAAGAGAGATTGATGTTGGTGGGCGAAAGTGGCGTGTTGCTACATGAGGACGCCGCACATCTGGCCGCCTCGTCATCGGGACCAGCTAAACCGCCGACACCACCAGGCGCATTTTGATTCAGATTTGTCTCCTTGCTGGAGTTGCGGCGGAAGCAGATTTCATAGCCGCGTACAGAGTCACCACCCTCAGAGGAGGCGGCACCGATGTTGTTGTTCGCAAAGTTGTTTTTGTATTGAAACTCCAAGGCGTTGCTTGGCTGGAATGGGTAGTTTTTGGAGTTGTTCAGCACATCACTGGACTGTTGATTGCCTTTGGAGAGATATTGGTGAATGTCTTCACTGGTGATCTGCAGATCCTGGTCGAGGTAGGTGTTACACTGGATGTAGTTATTGCAACAGTTGTTGTAGGAGTCAGCTTCTTGATGGAAGAGCACAGTTGTCGAAGACTCCTCGAAATCACAGTTGAATGGACTCTCACGGCATTTGCGCGCTGCCGCAGCCGATGTGCTTGGCCGATCGTCATGTGCGTACTTCCGACTGCTGTGCTGCATTGTGTATGAACGATGTTCGCTACGGTGCTCACATTTAGACTGTTTTGGCTCGCGTGTTTGCTCGTCAGCGGAAGTCCATGGGTCCTTAGTATCCACTTCGCCTGATCGCTCCATCTCAGTTGGGGATTTGCCATCGGCGAGGAAGCTCCAGCGTATCGGCGAAGGTGAGCAAGCGTACTCCGGCAGGTCGTTGCTCAGTGCATCTTTTGAAGTCTGTCTTTCAATGGTTACTTTCGATGGTGAAACTACTATTTTTCCTCTACTGCCACGTTTATCCAAGTCAGCGGCATCGATACCCAACTGCTTGGCGCGATCGAAAACGGAAGTGAGTGAACCGGGTTGGCTGCTAGGACGACCTGCGTTCAAGCCACGCAGCGATATCGATGTGTAGCTAGGCTGGCGTTGGTGCAAACGCCGTTTGCGCAATGCCACGGACGCGGACTTAATTGAGTTGTTACGACTGAGCGATGAGCGTGAACCATACAAACTGGTTGAATCTGTTTGATAGCAGTAGTCTGAAGAGGTGCAACACGACGACGGACGGCGTGTTGAACCATACAGATCTTCTGCGAAATATTGCGCCAGTTCGGTGCGAGACGAGTTGCAACAGGTCTTGCGTACGAGGATATCCTGTACTTCGCGATCCACACATGTCGGATCTTGACACGTATTGAGCGATGTGCTGGAAATATCGGTAGCCGATCGGTGTCGTCGCGTGCAGCTACTGCCATGTGCGTGGCTATGATGTCGCGACGAAGACCGCTGCTCCCCCTGATGGATGTGCCCATGTGGGCCATGTAGGCTTGAATTGCCGCTGCCGCCTCCGCCTCCGCCTCCTGCATTCCCATTTCCATTCTGCTGCTGATGACTGTGACGCGAACGTCTACGTCTATGATTGTGATGATGATGCTGATGATGAGAGGATGATGACTGTGTATTGTTAGCCGAGGGACGTGGTGGATGCGTGAGTGATGAGCGCGTAAGTGAGTCGGTCTCGTGCACGTGATGGTGCGATTGATGCGGTGACGAGTGCTGGCTGTGCGAGTGATGACTGTGCGGTGATGTGTGGCGGCTATGGTGTGGACTGTGGCTGTGACTGTGCTTGCGTTGCTGCTGCTGCTGTTGCTGTTGCTGGTGGCGGTGTGGCGTCGGTGTGGAGGAGGACTGCTGAAGCGGTTCCGCGTAAGCAATATGACTGTGACAGTGAGTCGGTTGGTGCATATGTGGTTGATCGCCGTGCTGCTGTGTTTGCTGCTGTTGCTGTTGCAATTGTTGCAGGTGCGCTTGCGTGTCGTCACATACAATATCCTTATCATAGCTACAATGTACGTGATGATGCTGCTGTTGGCGTGAATGCTTGGGCTGTTGCTGTTGCTGTTGCTGATGTGGTTGTTGCTGTTGTTGGTGTTGGTATTGGTGTTGTTCAGCATTCGTGGAATGTACACTGGCAGTTTCAGGAGGTGAGGCGTTCCTCAGTCAAGGCCCGCTGCTCGGGCAAGCAGGTATTTGCTGACGATGGTGATGGGGCGCAGAGGCACCGCTCCGGCCCTGGAGTGTATTTCGGCCGCCTTCTAAACAGCGCTCTGATGCAGCTGTACAGCGCGTGCGTGAAGTACACAAATAAGAAAGAAATTTCATCAAAAAACGAAACGAATAAATAGCGACAAAATAGTGGAGGTGAATGAGTATAAAGTGTGGGTGAAGAACAAAGTTCCGTCGGAGCTGAAAGCGCAAACGAAACAAGTTTGTCTTCATACAGAGCAAGCAAGCGTTTATTTGATTAGTGTCTGCCTTCATAAAGCTTTTGGGTATCTATAAGGCGCTATGATTCTAACCGAAAAAAAAAAAATAAGTAGGGTTCATGCAAAATGATAGTTTCATGCCGGCAACACAGCATGCAATCTATATACATATGTAAATGTCGATCTATTGTAGTCAAAGCTATTGAAAGGCATGCGATATTTTTATAAATTATCCTTTGGTCTTTTTCACATATTTTAGCATTTACGAGGATAGGGCGATACAATTTGTGGTATGAAATTGCATGGGGTGTGTATAGCAATAAAGTTAAGAAACAAATTTGGTCTGATGGTATATTTTTTCACTCTTAACCTAGAAAATATAAAAATTATATCCAACTGAATGTTCTTTATGAACGCAGCGAACTTTTATAAGTATTTTTACATAAGATATCTTTAACCCGTTCAGAGGCGTCCATAGGCATTTTTCAATTAAAAACCTGGCTGAAGGTCCAAAACCCCCCGGAAAGATTGACGGACGTTGTCACCTTCTTTTGCAACTGCCTACTAGCCTTAACATCGTTTTAAATGAGTCCAAAGTGCCTGGCTGTTTGACGTGATGCCTATAGTGGCTTTATTAGTTCTTCTACGAAGGCATTCACAGACACAGATTTCAATTGCGAAAATCTCCTCCTGAAACCTAAGTCCAATTATGCCGGCCAGTTGTACTTACCGCTTTACAAGAGTCCCTGTTAAGAATGACAACTTTGCAGAGCTTGATAAATAAATCATTTATAAAGCCCCTAGAGGACTTCGAATAGTTTAGTTTTGCGACAAGTGCACGGAGTGGTAGAGTCCAGAGTGACGCCCGTGCTCACTGGTTTATTTTTTGGCTGCCAGATTAGCGCGAGTGTGTCAACCCGTGATATTTCGTCTCTTGTGTGAACTCAATCTTCGCACTTACCAATTTATTTTTTGGTCAAGTTGACCTAACTTCCTTTTCCCTTTCAGTCTGGAGTATATGGAGGATGCCAGCCTACAACGTAGATGACAAGGCCATCTACATTCCCACATGCCTTAAAACCAGTCGGTTATTAGATTATTGATATCCTTCCTTGTCATATCCATGGACCAATTGTCAAAAGAATCTGATATATAAAGAAATGCCCACAGGGATGTCTGCTTGTATTTCAATACCTTTTCAATAACTTCAGACAGACTATGCATTGCTGTAATTGTAGATTTTCCTACATCGTATGCATGCTCATTTTCGCATATTGGCTTGACCTTGAGATAGGTCTCCCTGCTAAGAAAGCTAATTAGTTATTCTAAGGTTCGATATATGACTAAGGTATGCTCTTCCCGCTTTGAGTGTGGAGAAAGCATCAACCTAGTTAGACGCCAATGCAATGACTGCAGTGCGAATATTTCTAATGGCTTTTAATTGTAGAAAATGCTGAAGTAATGGTCCTCGGCAGAGATGGTTTGTGGAATAAAAAAAAAAATAAATAAAAATCTCAGTTTTTAGGTAACGTGTTTCTAGTTCTTTGCAAGGTACTGTATGCGTGTATGACTGTATATGTACATATGTATGTATGTATGTGTGTATGTGTCTCTGTTTTAGTGTGTGTGTGTGCTCTTTTGTGTGCATTGGGACTTCTTTGCTGCTGCTGGAGTTCAAATCTTTTCATTTTGCAGTGACACTAGTATTTGTTGTAATTGTGTTGCGTTTGTTGTTGTTGTTTGTTACTTAGTTGTAAAGTTACACAGCAACTGCAACTTAACACTTAACGCTACCTGACATCCTGCCGTGCGCCGAATGCCGTCGAAAACTGTCGCGATCGTACGTGTAGTCGTAGTGACACTTGCGCACCGGCACTGGCGTGTGAATGTTCGTGCCATAGTTGGTGTAACACGTCGTACTGCCGGCCAGACTCGTTGTCGGACCCAGGAGATTTGTGCTATCACTGAGCGGATATGGACCCATACCTTCAACCGTTAATGAAAACGAAGTGGTTCCAAACACTTTTTAGTTAGTTTTTGTTTTTTGTTTTTCATAAAAATTCATTGCAAATTTTGTTGGTTTGGAGGTTGGAGTGCCAAATTTTTGGTTGTGTGTAATTTCCATTTTCAATTCAGTTTAAATTTTCACGTTTGTTTGAATGTTGGTGTGTATGTAGCCCATACAAGATTCATTGATGTTCGATTTTTTAATTGAATTTCGATTGGTGTAACAATGAAATTTTTTAAATTTTGTGTTGATTCGAGTTGAAATGATTCAAGCCATATTTTTGAGCAAAATCAACGTTGTTCGTCCAGTGAATGATTTTTGAATTTTAAGTTTTTTTTTTGCGATTTTTCAATACAAATAAAAATATCCAAGTTATCATGCATTTATACCATAAATGAAAAATGGCAAATTTTCAAATAAAAAAAAAATATTAAAAATTAGTAAATGTTTACATATTTATCCACATGTCTTTTAATAAACTTAAATGAAAGTAAGTATGTACCTATACATTTCTACTTTTTTAAAACCACTACATACAACACAATACACTCTACAATATGCACGCAGATTGATAGTTTGTAGATATGTATGGAAAGCCAATGAGGACAGTTTGTAGTGTGGGATTAAAAATTATTTGAAACAAGGCTATCTCAGAAGTCATCCCGTTGAAGTGCGGAGTGCGGAATTTTAACAGGTTTGTAGCTTCTTTCACTTCTGGTTCAACCAGCCACCTACTGAGTGCCCTTCTGTACCTGCCGTCCGTATAAAAGTATCTAATTGCTGCTGATAGAGAGAGAGAGAGAGAGAGAGGGAGGGAAGCAACGGCAATGCCACCGTTATGCGTGGTGAGTTTTCGTTAACCCGTCGTGTTAGCTGATACGGTCTACGATGCTACGTCGGTGGCTGGTTGAGCTCTAAAATCTACTAGCAGTCGTCAGCGTATGAGATCAATGAAATTCCCTCTGGTGGCTGATAGAGATCCGATATAAAGAATTTGGACGGCAGAAGACGTCACCCCTCGTGGGCCCCCTTCTTAATTATTCTTGGTTTCGAGCATTGATCTCAAAATGGTGGGCCGCAAATATAATTCGCCAGTTTAGTCTTGATAACAGAGACGATGTCTCATTGTGTTGTCAGAAAGTGCCAATAAATTTCGTATTTTACTCGTCTCTGTTTATTTGTGATATGTTCTTATTCTTGCTTGAATGTTTGGGATTCGATTTTTGTTATGTACGAACTTAAGCCGTTTCGTTTGACACTTCATTAATTATATTCAGTTCACCAACATTCTAAAGCTCAAAGTTTTTGGTTTAACCAAGCTATCTCGGATACGTATCTATTATAATATTTTGACGAGATTCTCATTAGAAAATAGAAGAAGTTCTTAGAAAATTTATAAACTACATTTGGAAAAATATCTATCAAAACAGGGAACGTTACTCTCTGCCTCCCCTCTTTGCTTTCTATTTACAACAAAGCTTTTCTTAAGATTTTTAGAGATACAATTTTCTATTCTTTATTTTTTTCAGATTGGCTTTCTACATACATATGTATATACATATCTATCTACGAGTATTACTACAAATTCTAAACAAATAAAAATTGTACTCATTTTCATAAATAAGAGTGTGAAAATACAATATGTATAATAAATTTAAGAAAACATCACACAAATATTAGATAATTCAATCTCAAATTTTCATGATAAATAAATACAATGCAGAAAAAGTAGCGTATATACTCGCTAATGTTTAAAAAGTAAAAAAAAGCATATAACATATTCTACACTGAGAAAATAGTTAGCTAAATATTTTTCTCTCAACAAAAGGCTTGGCAGATAACTATAACCAAATAATGTAATCATTGAAAGAAACATATGTACATACATATTTAGTTGACGCTGACTAAACTCTTTTCTCAGTGTAGTATAATATACATTTGTATGTATGTAGTTGTTAGTAAATATGAAGCGATTGTGAATGATATCTAAAAATTTTTTATTGAAGTGAGTTAATGAATTTGGTGATTTGGTAATTAAAAATTTAACTGTGTTTGTTAGTATTTGTGTAATTGCACACGTGACACATTTACAGTTAGATGAATACATACTGCACAACATCACATTGGAAAGTATTTGAATTAGTTTAATGTATGTATATATTTTGGTATACATATTTATTTGTAAGTAGGCAATTGGATATAATTAGATATAAATAGTCGGTTGGGTGTAGGTATAAAATGGAGTTAATTTCTTTTTGTTTTTTTTGTACTTTGGTTAGTTTCTTGATTGTAAGTTAGTGTTGTACACAAACACAAGACAACAAACAATACGGAAATTAACTAATGGCAATTTAGAAAATGGCTTGGTTTTGATTCTTACGTGAGTCATGTTGGGTCTTTTCCTCAGATACCATCAACGCGGCATGTTCGATGCCAGAATTCATACTTTGTGGCTCCGAGCTATTTGTGCAGTTTAGCATACTCCTGAAATTCGCACACTCTACGATTATGTTTTAGGTGTATAGGATATTTTTTTTTTTTTTTTTTTGAATTTAAATTTTGTAAAATTGTTTAATGGTAATTGCTTTGCTTTTGGTTTGGATTTGTCTCAAGTTATGTATGTATGTATTCGGTTCTGTCTATTGTTATTTGACTGTTGGGTTGTGTTGGTTTATTTTAAAGGTTTTTCGTGTAGCTCTTTGTTTTTGTATTTGGTAGTAGCATGATTTACACTAAGTGTAATTAGAAAGTGTTAGTATAAGAAGTCAATTTTGTGTCGGCTGTATTTATGTTTATTGATTATCTGCCAGTTGCTTTTAAGAGGTCTCTTTTCATTTTCTTTTAAAATCGCTATACGGCTTACTTTATGGGATAGCCAAGACAAAGACAAGCGTTTTATTTTTCTTTCACCGATGGAGGATATATTTGCAATAGGAAGAATACAAAAAATAAAAAATGAAAAAATACTTGTTCACTTATTTAGTGAAACAAGTTATGTTATACTTTATAAGTTTTTTAAACAAATAAAATATGTAAATATTATAAAACAAAATATGATTAAAATATGTAAATATAACATCACAATTACTTTCGTTTTGTTCTAGTTTACCATAATTTATTTGATTATATTTATTAATTTAATTTATTTTTTATTGTATTTTTCTTTTTAATTAATTTCGCTGTTATTTTGATTAGTTTTTTGTTTCATTGAGTATTATTTTATTTTTTATAATTTTTTATTTAACTTCATTTAATTTTGTTTTATTTTATTAGGGTTTGTTTGATTTATGTTAGATTCGTATTTTTTTATTTTATTTATTAAAGGGTATTATTTTTTATTTTATTTTGGTATATATTATTTGAACTTTTCCTATTTTATTTCATTTGATCTTTTATTTAATTAATTTAGGCATTTCTTTTTATTTTATTGTATATCATCTGTTTTTTTTTAATTTTAATAATTTTTATTTAAACTTAATGTTTTTTAATTTTTTTATTTAATTTAATTAATTTTTGATATTTCATTTTTAATTTTATTATATTTTATGTTATTTAATTTATTTTGTTTTATTATATATTACTTAATTTTTTAATTTTTATTTTACTACAATTAATTTTGTTTTATTTTATTCGTTTTTTTATTTAATTTTTTTTTTATTATATTATATCACACCTTGTTTAATTTGATTTAATTTGGTATTATTTATTCAATAGTGTTAATGTTTTAAAATTTTTTTATTATATAATTTAATTTACATTATATGATATATTTTTTAATTTAAATTTTCTCTATTTTATTTCATGTTTTTATTTAATTAATTTATTCGGTTTATTTTATTTTGTATTATCTGCTTTTATTAAGTTTTATTCAATTATTTATTTATTTTTTATTGTCTTTCGTTTTTATTTTATCATATTTTATAGTATTTTATTTATTTCATTTTGTTTTTTTTCATTTTATTTTATTTCATGTAGTTTTTTATTTTATTTTTTATGTTTTTATTTAATTTATATATCTTATTTGATTTTATATTTTCTGTTCCATACCATCTCGAGTTTCAATTGGAAATAAAAAACAAATTTGTTTGCTCTTAAAATAAATACTTTTACTGGTGAATAATATCGAGACTTAATGCAAATGAAAAACAAGTTATATCGAAAACATTAAATAATACATATACAAGTACACACTAAAATAAGCACAGTAAATTAAATAGTGTACAAAAAAACAAAATATTAAATTAAAAAACACATTTTTTCATTACAATTAACGTTTTTGAGCAAATAAGTAAACGAAATTAGAGTGAAGCAATAATTTGGGGGACGGCATTTACAAGCTTCACTGTTCTTTCGGACGCTCATCTCCCGCCTCGGTGCGATGGTGTATTTCAATGTCGGCTGTGGAATCGCTTTGTCTGTATGTAGATCCATAATCGCTAAGGAAAAGTGTGTGAATGTAATAAAAAATAATTTACGAACTCAGAAATCAAATAAGTGTACAAACGTATAGTTAAATTAAAAAAAATAAATAAAAAATTATAGAAAAAAAATCAACTATAAGTTCAATATAGGTACGAGTATGTCTGTGTGCTTGTTTAGGAAATTCTACTGTATGTATGTAAATGTACATGTATTGCATGTTTCTAAAAATACAAAATTACGGAGGAATATGGCAAATGAGACGCATGAAGAAACAACATTTGAATGAGCGAAATTTTGCCAATTGCGAGTACTGCTTATCAATTTGCTTTCAATGAGTATTCGAATTCGAATGATTTGAGAATTTCGAACAACGAGATATGTAGTAGATGTGTGTGTATTATATTAACAAATGAATTTAGTATTAACTTTTATTTAGTTTGATAGGCTTAGGTTGAGAATAGTGACACGAAAGCAGGCATTCAAGGCATTCAAAATCGTTCAAAAACGTTAAAAGGAGAAATAATTATAGATTTAATATCGAGAACAGAAAGAAACCATTTTTTTGTTTTTTTTTTTTTGTAATCACTCAACTCACTAAAGCTTTTTCGATTTTGGGGGAATATTAAAAAAAAAAAACACAAACTACATTCAAACGGTGGCGTAATTACTACTGTAACGGCATAGCCAAGTTTGGGAGGTCAAGAAGTTTAAAGTAAACAAACAATTATCTTTGTATTTTTGCTTACTGTTTTCAAAGCGCTCTTTCATTAAACTTTAGAAGCTTTATGTTCGGTTTATAGAAATGTATGAACTCGCAAACAGAAGTTTTGTGTTTTAATATCTTGTTGTTGTTGTTGTTTATCATGCAACTTACCCATACAGTCTACTATCTCGGAATGTCCTTCTGTGTGTAACGTACGGTATTTGATTTTTTTTGTGAACGGAAATATTTTTTTTTGTTTCGTTTAATTAATTTTTTTTTTTTTAATAAAATTTAGAGGAAAAAAAATTAATAGCTGTCTGATGATATTTATTTAATAACAACATGGCAAGCTCAATGCAATACGAAACGAATTTGAATTGGAAAGTAAGTTTAAATTTAACTAAAAACAAACATAAAATAAATTTAAGGTAGTAAATGAAAATAATTTAAAGAACCGTGCAAATGTTGGGCCAAACGAAACGAAATCTTTAGCGTATTCGATGTATTGTGAGGGAGTGGTGTTATAATTTGTGTTCGCAAAAAGGTATAGTTAGGAAATCTTTGAGTCATGGACCAGCGTTAATTCTGATTTGGCAAATAAATGCACAGATCCGCTATGGTATGCTATGGTCTGATTGATCCTCTTCAAATGGCAGCAAAGTGGAATGAACTACTTTCCATATTTCTTTCAGTTAGATAAAATGGTCAGAAAAATGAGAATACGGTGCCAATAGTTTTGAATTGAAATCAATTTTGAAAAACCTAAGTGAAAAAGGACGAAAAAAGATGTATAGTATGAGGCGTATTTTTGTTTTCGTACTAATCAAAAATTTGAAATTTTTGTATAGAAAATGATAGGAAAATTTCCTGATTTCCGATCCGTACGAAAACAAGAATATACCCCTATATGCCCTTGATACTTGCAAATCCGCTATAGGAAAAATCTGCCGTAAGTCTCAGTCTTTTTTTTATAATATGGTAACGGACGTTGTAGAAATCCGCGACTAAGAGAAAAATAGAAATAGTATGGAGGACAGCAGCCGTGATTTTCACTCTACCCCCACCAAAGGTCTTGAAACTCTGTTAAACCTTTTTAGGTATTAAGCAATAGGTATGCACATATGTATGTATGTATACACATAGTAATCTGCTCTCTGACTTAAGAACTCTCCTCCAAAATTATGCTCAACATCTACTCTTACAAGCACATTCTGAGGAATTGCATCGCGGACGAGCTAGCAAGATTATTTCCTAACCCCCAATTCATCGAGTTTTCATTGCACAACGCAACCAAAGATGGGCTTGTCAGGTAACCAGGTAAATTTGGCATAGAACTAATTTCTGAGTAGTTCTCCTTGATCGTTTCTGCATTGGCTAACATGGAAAGCACAATATGTGTTTTACTGGATTTTCGAAGGCATAGCGGACTTAGAATCTTAAAGCATCTGCATTTTTCTATAAGGGTATTCAGACTATACTCGTTAAGGTCTTAATTCGGTAAATCCCAGAATTGTTTTATTTTTGTAAATTACCGCATGTATCATTACCAGTTTAACGAGGTGGCAAATCTGATAAATGTCAGCTGATGCCTTTCTGTCACTTATTTGCCGGAATTTTCTCGCGCGAAAAATGCATACATTTTATGAAAAGTTCATCAAGTCTTTCTGTCGTGGAATCAATAAATGTTTATAAATAAAAGAACTACATGCCAGCTCATTCGAAAGTAATTTTAACCAAAAAAAGAATAAGGGGCGTTCGAAGGTGAAAGTGTTACCGAGTTACCAGATAACGAATTAATACGTTAACGAAGATAGTCTGAATACCCTTTATGATTAGCAAGGAAAGCAAAGTGGTTCCATTACATTGGGAAGTAGATGGTATAATCGTGGGATCACGGCAGAGGTATTACATGGGGCTTCTGATCTGAATATGCGTCTCTACATTTCTTATGGAAAGTGCTAACCTCTGTGACCTAACTTAATCCACGGCAAATTTCGTTTGAGAAGTATTGTCGGTACAACAAAATGAGCTTTGCAGAATCTTGGTTTTTGTGTGTATTTTGTGATTTTTTCCATTCTATGCTCTCAACTTACAGCTGAGATATTTATACCAGGCTCTCTTCGAAATAAAATACGGATAGTCAGCGGACGAGAAACGACTGCCGTGCTTTGTTGAATTCGGCCAAAATCGCTTAGGCGGTTACAGCGCCAAATTGGAAGAAGAAGAATAAGTCATCAGAGGCACTTGTCCTAAAGTTCCTTGAAGCTGCACGAGAAAAGAAAAATGCCCTTTTATTTCCTTCTTCTTATTTTGCGCACACAAATTATTCACACAGATAGAGATTTTCATATTTCTCTGGTCACTGATTCTAAATCAACCGATCTGCAGTACTGAATGTAAGTACTTTTCAATATTTTTTTAATTTATTAACTTAATGAAATGAGAACCTCTTACATTTCAAGCTTCACTTGAATATTTTTCTTAAGCACTGTCAAGAAATAAGTAGTGTGATATTTATGAAGTTAGCATTTTGTTTTTAAATCTCCTTTTGACTGAGATGATGAGCGTTAGTGTACGTATTACGCAACTTTCTTCAATCAATTATGTACATACATATATATCAGTTATTTAAGTATATAATATTTATATGCAATATGCAAAAAAAAACACATACATATGTAAATATGCTGAACTGGTGTTTACCTTCCATTTCCGTGTCGGAATAGCGCGCAAATCTCTTCGAATGTCTTATTCTTAGTCTCAGGAACCTTCTTATAGGTGAATATCCAAAATATAGCTAAGCAAACGCTAAACGGCAAAAATGTATAATTCTCCAATTCAGCCTGTTGGCGTAGAAAAAAAATGATGTTAGAGTGTTATAAAATTCGCTAGAAATTCGTAAAAATTAAAAAAAAAAAAGTAACGTTACCTTCATACTGGGGAAACCAATGCCGACTACGAAGTTCGCCATCCAATTGACCAGTACAGCGATTGCCATCGCGCTGGGTCGTGGTCCTTGCGAGAACAATTCCGCTGTGATCATCCATGGGATGGAGCCGGGTCCGACCGAGAAGAAGACGACAAAGCCGAGCGTCGACACCACCGACAGATACGACATCCAATCGATCATTTCCTGTACATAACCAAAAAACTCCTATACAAAACGTGTAGCTACCGATTCTCGATGATTTGTAGGCTTTTTCTTTGATTGTTTTTTTGTTTTTTTTCTTTTTTCAATGTTATTTCGAGATTTTTTTTTTGAATTCAGTAATGTACCCAACAAATCAAATCAAGAAGAAAATAAAATTTATAATAATAATTAATGTATGTAAATTAAATTAACTTAACTTATACACGAAATTAAATTTTTTTTCTACTGACTTACAGCAAATTCATGGCATAATTGTTTTGTGTTACTTGGCAATAACAGATTTGTGGCTGTCATAGAATTTAAATTTTTTCCTATAAAAAGTTAAGTAAAAATTACGTATTTTCATAGGAGAGTTTACTTTTTTACAAAATACTTTTTACACGTCGGACGAAGAGAAGGGCCTAGTGCTACCGCTGGGCATTCAGCTTTCATGAAAAAAAAAACTTAAAAGCTTTTAATTGTTTTGGATTTTTCACATTTTCATTATTTAAGTTTTTACAAATTTATTTAAGTATTTAGTAAGTTTATATATTTTTTATTAATTGGCTATTTTTCAAAATAAATTATTTAAGTACTCTTTATGACTAAGTAAATATGATTTTAATGTAGTAGTGTCGCTTGCTGCTCGAAAAGCTTCTGCTGTGGTGACTTTTAACAAAACGTATAATTATATTATTTTTCAAATATGTAAGTATTTATAACAATAACCTGTGTTCGCGCTGCTTCAGCTTCAGTGAAAAGTTTCCTGTTTTGCTTTGTGAAATTTTGGACATTTACAAAATATCGCTCCATTGCACTTTTGACTATACATACATACATACATACATACGTACACATGTGTTTATGTTGTATATATACAAAACGCTCTTACTGTGTGTGGCTTATTGTGTTGGCTGCGTTTAAGGCGATTGTGGGTTTAGCTGCTCGATATTTTTTTAAGTGTACTAGTTTGTTTGCTTTTTAAAAATTTGTGCTATAAATTTCAATTTGAACTTTGTGAGTGTTCGTGTCTTAAGTCTTTTGTTTTGAATTACACTGCTTGTCGAATCGCTTGAAGTTTCGGTGCGAAATTTTCGATTCTTCTGTAACCAATACGTAGCTAGATAATTGGAAGCTAAATTAAATTTGTTGGTTTCCGTTTAACAGAATGAACAACACATTTTAATTCAGCTTCACTGTTTTAGCCGTGAAATGAGACAAAGCATTTGAAAAGCCAAATTAAAAAAAAAAAGTGAAAATTAAAAAACGAAATAATTTTTTTTTTTTGTGAGTGTGCTTGTTCGCAGAGGGTAAAAAGCCTGCCAAGTCGAGAATTTTTTCATTTTGCAGGGGACAGACTTTTGAATAAATGAGTTGTTTTCAGTGAATTTCATACAAAATTATCTTCTTCTTTGAGCAAAACATGTTTTCCATATTAATTGTCAATTTTATGAATCATTTGAAAAGTATAAGCAAATAACGCAAATTACTTTTTTGCATTTTTTAACTCACTATTTGACAGACGACGAAAAGTGCTTATTTAATTTTCTTTGGAAAAATTCAATTAGTTCAAAATTTTAAGTTTTTATGCGCAAGAATCTTCGATTGGTAAGTAAACAACAACAAATTTACAGCTTTGTTCGATATTATTTGAGGAGCCCGCATGCTCATCGTTGTCGAACATTAAACTCATTTATTCAAATACTTAACCTAAACAACTTAATATAGTGTAAACAAAAAAAAAACTAACAAACACTGAAGCATGCAAACACAAATTAATTTAACTAGGAAAGCTACCGTGAGAAGAAAAGGATAAAAATGTACAGCCTAAGGCGTTTAAATTGTGCTTTTTACAAGGCAGTACAGAAAATATTAAAACTAAAATTTTCAGGGTGGTCCAAACACAGTTCCGTAAATTGTCTTCTTAAATATTGCATTTTCTGATCGAAATTTATTATCTCGGCGGCGGTTTTGTCGCTGAGGAATCTTGAGAAAAGTCGCGATTCTTCAAACACGCATACCCAACCAAAGGTGTGTGTTGGCTTACGAAGCGTCTCCGTTGTCAACATTTTACTGGCAGAAGAATTTCCTATAATCGGATTTTCATTAAGCCATAGTATCTCAAAAGCTCACACCATATAAATTAGAGATCAGCGCCACTACAGCTAGGGCACGCATAAGTGAGCGTCACCGATACCTAGGCCGCAATGAAAATGGGAACAAGCCGCATGAGAAAAAGTAGTTCTTCAAGGAGCGCAAAAGAAGCTTAGCTGGATCTTCCTTCTCGGTAAAAAGCTTAGTAAAGCACCTGCAGTTATGTCGGCGCGCAAGGGAGTTTTGGTATTTTTGTGGCTAAAAAGCTTTTTTCAACTCTAGATTCCTCTTTAAGATTTTGTTCAAACGGAAGCAGCTTCAAGAGAAATGCAAGTGCTTGCACTTTCCTGAAGAGGAATCATCAGATAGATAAAATAACATTTGGTGTAGCGAAAACATGGTTCTATATCTTCTTCGATACCTTTAATGCCTGAGTTGGTCAACGTAGTAGATAGACAGTAGCGGTAAGAGGTCTTAGAGAGATCAAATTATTTGCTTATCCAACGGTTATGAAGTACCAACCGGTGATATATGTATGTTTGCGTTCTCACGTGGATCATATTCGTCTGTGTGAAGCTGGCAGAATGTGGCATTTGTCTGCAGGACGATGAGCCATCCCGGAAACACATTTGAGTGTCTATGCTTTGCCAGACAAATAAAAATTTACTTCTCAAATTAGAGAGATATTAATTAATCTGTAAAGGCTCTTTTAGCATGTATTGTGAAATTGGATTTGACAAAGGATGACGGAAAATCGAGAACACCAACAAGTAGCTGATTATTAATATTTAATAATATTAATATTATTATGAATATTCTCTTCCCTGGGCTAAAAAGCATTTTGAGGATCAAAATGTCTGGTGTTTTTGTATTGCCACAGCCTATTTAACTGCGTCACTCTACCAAAGTAGTTTATGGTAAATTGCTTAAGTAACTTGTGTGTAGATCACCCTTAAAACGAGATAGACTACTAAAAGTATCAAAAATATATTTAAAGTATTTATAAAAGCTATTGTTTTTTTTTCATATTTTAATTTAAAATTCGCAAAGCGTGCACATGCTTTTGAATGATTCTATTTTATGTTTTTTTTTTTGATGATTCAATCGAGTACTTTTATGCCTTTCATGCTTTTTTCAATTCAAGATTCGAGTTTAAACGCATGAATCAAATCTTAACTGCCTACTACAAAAATACTAAATTGTATGCTTGAATAATTACACTTTATAAGTAGTATAAATATATCATGGATTGTATTTTTTTATATAAATTTGTACTGAACATTCCTTCGAGTCATGCAATAAATCATAGCTAATTTATGATTTTTTATATTTCATACCGAAATTGACTATTTCATTGTTTAAAGACATACAAATATTTAATAAAAAAAAAAAACAAGTCTAAGCGCCGTTTCACAGTGGTTCAAAATTGGCATTTAGTTATATATTTGCAAGAGACCATTTGAGCCCGATTTTTTATTTTTTATTATTTTTTTTTTTTGATTACATATATTAAATTTTTTAAGAGCGAATTGCAGAAAAAGTAGCTATTTTGAAGAAATTCGATTCTCGTGTTCCAGTTGCTGAATGTTACATAGTAAAAACTAGTTAAAAAAAATTTTAGGGTTCCCCCAAAACGAAAAAAGATTTCACGAAAAAAAAATTAAATGTTATAAAAAACATAAGAGTTCGCTTTGATTTTTAATAATATATATATAATAAGAATATAAATTACACTAGACAAATAGAGTGCTCTTAATTCTTATTTAGCTTGCAGATATGCTCGAAATGTGAGCGAAAAAAAAACTATAATCAACTTCAGTGAATTATGAACAGTAAATTGCAGTTTTGAACCACTGTGCGTTTATTTGGTGGAGTCCTGCATAACTCACATTGGACAATTAACTATTGATTTTTGGTGAACAAATTGAAATTGACCAGCCAAATGTGAGTTATTTAATTCACCAGCCGGAAAACGGCCTTAAAATTTAAAGTATCAAAAAGAGCATTGTATTTTGTTGGAATTTTAAATAACTAAATACGATACAAACCACAAATTCAAATATCACATAATAAGTAGACCATAAAAAACTTTCACTTTCAATACTTGCCCTTTGATAATTGGCAGCCAAGCATGCTTTGCTGTGCACCTTGGCTGTTGGTGTTTGGTGTTTGTACTTGCCTTAATTAAAAATGAAATCGTTATGAATATCGAGAATATGAACATGCCACCTAAACCGTATAGATGGAGGGTTCGACGACCGGTGCGATCCATTAACGGTATTGAGACGAGTGTCATCAGCAACTGTGGAAATTTGTTAAACAAACAAACAAAAAGAAAGTGGATTTAGCTCTTTAGTCCTCTTGCGAGTGCTTTCAATTTCCAAACCATTATGGCTCCAATGCCTATCGTTGAGAATTTGGCGCTCTCCTCCGTCAGGCCAGAGCTCATGAACAGCGACGTTGAGTAGTATAGCACCGCATTGATACCGCTGAACTGCTGGCTCAGCTGCATCACAATGCCGATTATCAATGGCGGCCGCAGTGTGGGCGAGCAGATTAGCTCCATGGTGGAGATGTGGCTTTCCGACTGTTGGGCGCGTTCTTCGGCGCGCATCTCTTCAATGTCCTCATCCACCGTACTCGAGGCACGTAGTCGTCGCAGCGCTGTAGCGGAAAAGTTTTTTTTTTTTTTTAGAAGTAATTTAAGGCATTTAGTTGTGCGAGCATTGCTTACCTCTTCGGGCTTCCTCCTCCCATTGTTTCGTGATGAGCAGATATCTGGGCGATTCCGGGCATATGGGCAGTAATATTAATTGCAATATTGCTGGACATATGGCTAGGCCAAGTAATATGGGCCAGCCATCATTAGTTCCTAAAATTTGTTCGATTCCCAGGACTTGGGATAGTAGTAAACCTATTGTCACAGCCAATTGATTTACGGTGCCTAATCCACCGCGTAAGTTCAGTGGCGCTATTTCAGAGATGTACATTGGCACCAATGATGTATTAAGACCTGCAACACACACAAAAACACACACAGATGGAGGTAAGTAGATTTTAAGATTTGAATTTTGGTTTGGCCACTCACCGCAATTAACACCAATAATAAATCGGCCGAGGAATAACATTTCATAGGAATGACTAACTTTGGTAAAACCCATTAGACAAGCACCCGATATGCCAAGCACATTATTTAATAATAGTCCGCCTTTTCTGTAATTGCGATTGAGAAAGGGAAAGGGAAGTTATTCGTTTAGCATTTTGTAGCATTTTGTAGCCCGCATTAATCGAACTCACCTGCCGAAGCGATTGGCCACCCAAGCGCCACTGAAACCACCCAACATGCCGCCAATGGCGAATATCGACACCGCCACCGAGTACAGCTGCTGTATGAACTCCTCACTGATATCCTCGCCATAGCGATCCTTGTACACGTCCTTCATGAAATTCTCGATATTCTTCTCGGGCGCATTTATCACACCGGTATTGTAACCGAACTGTAGCATGCCCAGCACCGCTGAGAATATCGAGTATGTTAGGAAGAAGGTAAGACCCTGTGGGGGGAGAACAAGCGAAGAACACACAAATTGGCAACGTAAATTTGGCTTTTTTCAAGTTAATTGATGGAATTGTGCGCAGAGGAATATAAAAAAAGAATTTAAGTGCATAACTAAAAATAAAAGGACTTAATTAATTAGGAAATGAAGTTAAGTAAAATTATATTCCAATTATATATTTGCCGAGTGGGTTGAACCAATTGCGTTTGAGATTAATGGGTTTTCTTTTGGAATAAAAGATTAAATAAACAAATTCAAAACTGTAAAAAATATTTTGTAGTAAGGCTTGTAGGCATTATTAAAATCCATCGTCCGCTGCCCTCTCCAGTCTTCTCTGGCTAAATCGTCACAGGGCTTAGAGCGCGGTCAGGATGTCGTTTATACCAAAGGTCGGCAAAAGCTCTGACATATTTCCCAATGCTTTTAAGACAATCAGTCTCTCTTCGCTTCTGCTTAAATCGTAGAAAAGCTGATTAATCCGCATATTATAAACAGGATGTCTCTCGATCTACATATATGCCTAATTATACCGAGAGGCTTTGATATGCTTTAGGGATGTTGCGAATGTGGAATTTTAGACGTCCGCGGACGCGAATGCGAATGGAGAAGTCAAGTAATTTTAAGCAACAATTAGGTAAGTAAATTAGTTTATTTAGGTTCATAAAAATGGAAAAGTTAGCAATTTTTAATAATATTTATTTTATTTAGTACTTGAATTTGAAAATTGGAACATTATATTTAATAAAAAATAATGACAATTGCATCCGGCCGAAAATGTCGGATGCATCCTCCCGATTTTCATCTTCACTTGAAGAATCTAGCATAATGGCGAGATCGTTGATTATACATCGCTTACAAGCCAGATGTGTCGGGTTTTTCTAAAACTTTTTAAAAATAATTCTTCATTCTCATTCCTTTGGTTGTTTCGGAATTTGGGGAACCTGTAACGTTATCAGCGTTTTTGGATTTTAGTTTCTGTAATAAATTTTTAATACTTTCTTCTGCGATTGGTTTGAAAATTTTTTTCTTATACCGATCTAAATATGTAGGTGGAAATTGGAAATTAATTATTATTTTCCAGAAATGAAAATTTTGAACGAAATTCTGTTTCCAAAGAAATTTAAACCAAAATCAGTCGATTATTTTCTTTATTTTTTAGACATTGCTAAACAATTAAAAAATTCAGGAGGCTTTACTAGGGAGTGTTCGTAATTTTTCGCAGCTTTGCGATAATTTTATCTATTTTTTGCAGCTCTTCGTCTTCTAACGGGTGATTTTTTAAGAGCTTGATAACTTTTTTTTTAAAAAAAACGCATAAAATTTGCAAAATCTCATCGGTTCTTTATTTGAAACGTTAGATTGGTCCATGACATTTACTTTTTGAAGATAATTTCATTTAAATGTTGACCGCGGCTGCGTCTTAGGTGGTCCATTCGGAAAGTCCAATTTTGGGCAACTTTTTCGAGCATTTCGGCCGGAATAGCCCGAATTTCTTCGGAAATGTTGTCTTCCAAAGCTGGAATAGTTGCTGGCTTATTTCTGTAGACTTTAGACTTGACGTAGCCCCACAAAAAATAGTCTAAAGGCGTCAAATCGCATGATCTTGGTGGCCAACTTACCGGTCCATTTCTTGAGATGAATTGTTCTCCGAAGTTTTCCCTCAAAATGGCCATAGAATCGCGAGCTGTGTGGCATGTAGCGCCATCTTGTTGAAACCACATGTCAACCAAGTTCAGTTCTTCCATTTTTGGCAACAAAAAGTTTGTTAGCATCGAACGATAGCGATCGCCATTCACCGTAACGTTGCGTCCAACAGCATCTTTGAAAAAATACGGTCCAATGATTCCACCAGCGTACAAACCACACCAAACAGTGCATTTTTCGGGATGCATGGGCAGTTCTTGAACGGCTTCTGGTTGCTCTTCACTCCAAATGCGGCAATTTTGCTTATTTACGAAGCCATTCAACCAGAAATGAGCCTCATCGCTGAACAAAATTTGTCGATAAAAAAGCGGATTTTCTGCCAACTTTTCTAGGGCCCATTCACTGAAAATTCGACGTTGTGGCAGATCGTTCGGCTTCAGTTCTTGCACGAGCTGTATTTTATACGGTTTTACACCAAGATCTTTGCGTAAAATCTTCCATGTGGTCGAATAACACAAACCCAATTGCTGCGAACGGCGACGAATCGACATTTCACGGTCTTCAGCAACACTCTCAGAAACAGACGCAATATTCTCTTCTGTACGCACTGTACGCATTCGTGTGGTTGGTTTAATGTCCAATAAAGTAAACTGAGTGCGAAACTTGGTCACAATCGCATTAATTGTTTGCTCACTTGGTCGATTATGTAGACCATAAATCGGACGTAAAGCGCGAAACACATTTCGAACCGAACACTGATTTTGGTAATAAAATTCAATGATTTGCAAGCGTTGCTCGTTAGTAAGTCTATTCATGATGAAATTTCAAAGCATACTGAGCATCTTTCTCTTTGACACCATGTCTGAAATCCCACGTGATCTGTCAAATACTAATGCATGAAAATCCTAACCTCAAAAAAATCACCCGTTATGTAATTCAGGAATTTCGCTATTGTTCGGTAATTTCGCTATAGTAATTCGGAGAACACTTCCCTTTTTTGTATAAAAAAAAAAACAAATAAAATCATAAAAATATTTGAAGCAACAAAATAATATTTCATATGTATAAAAAATAAAACTGCAAATCAAATTATTTACTAAAATAAGAAAACTTTATTTTTGCTTTTACATTTCATTTTGGAATTTAGTTAGGTTGAAATAAAATTACGGCTAAAACTCAATAAAATAAATAAACTTATGCAATAAATAAAAAATAAAAATCGATTTATCTAAATAACAAACCAACTACATATAATAATATTTAATAACAAACACAAGGATTATGAAGAAGCGGTCTGTATTCGTAAATGCCATTATGCGCTAAACTTTGGTTGTACAAATAAATGTAAGCGAGTGTAATTGTGAGCTGATTTTGCGATCGAATTGCATTTTTGTTGTTGTTGTGTAAATTTTTGAATTTTGTATATTCGCACGCATAATGAGATTTTTAACTTTGTTGTACATGAATATAAATGAAATTCAAGTATTAATTACACAACATGGCAAATAATTTAAGCTACAAACTTGTTCTAAAAGTCTTAGCTTCCGTCTGTGTGTGTGCTCCTCCAGTCTGTCGACGTATTCGCGCAGCTCTTCGATTTCCTCTTTAACCTGTTGCACGGTGTCCAATTCGTGTTTGATGGCAACCATGTCCCGTTTTACCTAAAATATATGTAGGTTGGTTATAAGTTTCTTTTGAATAAATATTAAAAAGTGAAATGCTGGTAGTTTTTACAGATAAATAGATAAATATGTACTGTGAGTTTTCTTCGGAACACTTGGGGTTTGAATTAAGTTGAGTTAAATATATGTATTTGTATTTTTTTTAGGATCATTAACAATTTCTACATGACTTACGTAATGAAAATTGTAATGAAAATTTATTTATACATATACTTACAATTACGCTTTGAGTTATCATAAGTTTTGTATCAACTATTGTATATTAAAAAAGGCCGTCAAATACAATCTACTATATTGTCTATTTTACTGAACTACGTTCTTCTTTATACATTCCTAACAATTGATTTTAAATGCCTTTATATTCACTTAGGAAAAGAACTATTAATATCACTATCAGCTTGAAGGGCCTAAAAAGTGTTTCTGGTCCTACTACTGTGCTAAAATATTTTCAACTACTAGGGTCATAATTCACTTTCTCCTTTAGATGTAACTCATCGGGGTCTAAAGAAACGATAGACCATTTCCATCGCAGCTGTCCGGCACGGGAGAGAGTTAAGCACGTTTTTGCGAAACACACCTTCATCACCGCTAACTAATCTCTGCAGCCTTTCGGAATACATATACGTTTTGAGAGTGGCCAAGTTCGAGATTAGAGAGAAAATTTAACTTTACAACCGGAAAAATAAGCTGCGACCTTTTCAAAAATCTGATGAATGTGAGAGCAGACTCACTTTTAGCCGCCAATGTGACGGGCTTCCCGTCTGCACGAAATTGAAATGACACTACTAAAGAAGCAAATACATACATTTACATTTATGAAATAGTTGATTGAGGTACATTTCCCAAATTATTCGTTAGAAAAATATCGGTTGGTCCTGTCTGCGCAGAACATAGGTAGAAGTCATAACAGATCAGCTTCTATTTTGGGCAGGGATAAGTTACCATATGCAGTAGAATCCTTTGAATTAGGCGGTAATAATATGTTTCCAGCACTAATTAAAAGATGCATTTATGAAATCATCGATTGATCCTCTACTTACTTATGTATGACTTACTGTCTAGTTGTACTTGAGAATACGCACCGAGTAACTTGAAGGAATAAGTCCGTTTCATAACCAAAAATCGGGACACTGCCTCCTGACGCACATTGGCATCAACCCTTAGCCTAATTTTTTCATTGATAAGATAAAGTTAGAGTTTCAAATCCCTACAACGGTATTCAATTTTGTGTGTCAACCGAAAATCGGTAGATTCCGTCCAATAGCCTTTAGTTAGTAAGACTTAAAGGGCCTAAGGAAGTTTATCTATGTATGTTTGTATGTATCTCAAGAATATTGGATAAAAGAGGCATATACATATATCTGCGCTTTCGGATCGATGGTTACCATGCTTCATGACGACGATATGACAATGTTTTCTGGGCAATAGTTCCGAAAATATTAGAGCCGTAAGAGGATGCCCAAAAGGGAGTGGTCTTTCTCCCCTATTTTAGTCTCTCATGATGGTCTCTTAAGCCGACAAGAATTACGCAGACACGCCTGCAGCTATTGTTACGGGAAAATTCGGCAGACGTTATGTTTATCGCTTGCAATAAGGTACATACATATGTATGTACATACACTAAGAAAGTGAAATATTCTCGAATTGCTCTTTACAAAAGGCTAAACAAAACTCTTTGCAAATTTTTTGGTCGGATATGGGTTCTGTACTCAGAGTTAGTTGAATGGCTATACCGCTATTCACTGGGCTATCTGCGCTCTCACATATGTATACCGAACTATCTTCACCACGGAGACGAAGTGCTAATTTGCCTTAAAGGCGAATAAACATCGGGGGTCATTAAATTCATTCTTGGTCGAACCTTTTAATATAAGAATTCTTATGGCAGGGCACTGTTCGAAATTACTAGGGGCAGCTGATAGAATCTCAGTTTCTCGTTTGTCTAATCTGGTTAGGGTCTTATAAATAAGTATACAAAATATCTTCTAGGTCGCAGGTCTTGTTCTGTTCTACCAAGTTTATGAACTAACTAATTAATTAAGGATCCTTATTCAATCTTCCCGAAACCTAGGCGAATCTTAATAACTCTATATCGACATCTTAGACTTAGTCAGACTTAGCTTGGTGTCGATATGTGTTTAGTTCCTAAACAAATTTGCCATTCAATTTATTAAATACGTCACAGATTCATTGACGTAAATACATAAATACGCAGGTGCACATTGATTTGAATGTGGATTTTAAGGCTTTTGTCTAATAAAAATTCTATGAAGCGCAGAAGCATATGCAGCCAATACACAATTGCATACTTAAAAACAGATTGAATGGCTGACGATATAATTTTATAACGCTACCTGTCAATAAATCTAGGCATACTACATACATAAGTGAGTGTGTGTATAAATGCGTTAAATTTAATTGTTACTTTATGTATGACGACAAAAGACGCATATATGCATAAATACATTTCAAATTTCTAGCTCACTCACCTCTGACACCTCACTTTGACAACTCTCCACGGATTTGGTCAGCTCCTGCAGCTGAGTACGTATTTCACACAAGGCGACTGTCGTCTCCAAGTGTCGATCGCCTCTTTGAAGCTCATCCAGTTTGGCTGATAAATTCATGCTCATCACGCTAACTTGCTTTTGCAAACTGGCGACGTGAAGCGACATGAAGCGACGTGAAGCGACATGAAGCGACGCGACGCGACGTATGCCATTCACAGGTGTTAATGGAGTGTGGCGACAAACGGAGGTTGCGCCGGTCGGTCGTTCGGTTGGTCATTCAAATGCAATTAGATGTTATTAATTTAATTGACGATAACGTCGACGACGACAAGGACAACGACGCAGTTGCAGATGCAGGTGGATGGGTCGGTGGGTCGACGTAGTTCGTATGTAAATGTGGCAATCGGTTGTATTATTAAATTACAGTTGCAGTTGTCCACACACACACACACACACGTGCGCACAAAACGCAAGTGGCACACAAATAACAACGGCATGCCGGTGCACAGATTTTCACGAAATGTTTGCAGCAAAATCACAGCGCGCACATTTGAGTGCGAATTTATAAATATATATATATATATATATATATATGTATGTGGGTGTGCGTTTTAGTTATGTGGCGGAGCGAGGTCGCAATTTCATGTTGCACATTTCATGTTGAAATTCGAGTCAAGTCGAAGTTGCAGGTGGCACGACCGCAGCAAGAAAGTGGAAATTTGTTTTTTTTTATTGAGTACAATTGAATGAGCCATAGTTGGTTAGTAAAGAATGCTAGGAATTTGATTATATACTTCAATTATGAGCAGAAAATGCGAAAATGCAATTTATAATATTTACAGTACCTACTTATTTATTTATTTAGTTTTTTTTTATGTATGCACCTACTCGAGTAATATGTTTCTTTAATAGTATAAAGGTTATTTACAAGCGAAAAAATATATACATACGTATGTAAGTATGTAAGCACATATAAAATGTATGCATTCGAATGAAGTATGAGCTGGGCAGGGCGTACGAGTGCCAACAAATAAATGGCGAAATGCAGTATTTATGAGTTGTTGCATGAAAGGTAAGTAAGTATGCAGCTGCTATGCATGTCGCATGTTAGTGTTTGTACTTGTGTATGCACCAATGTGAGTGTGCACTTAGCTGCTTTTTTACTATTTTTTGTTTGTTTTTTTTTTGTAATGTATTTTTAGTGTATTTTTTATAAATAGCGAGACATAAATCACACCAATAAAAAATAAGTTTGCTGCTTATTCGCTTCGTTGCTAAGCAAATGAATTGAAATGCCTGGCAAAGCAATGGCAAAAGGAAAAGGCACAGCAGCGACGCAGCAAATTTATTGCATTCTTAATATATATTATTTCATGTTTTATTGTAGTAGTAAATTTGTATGTACATATGTATGTATGAATATACTATGTGGCAGTGGCAATCAAATAAGGGAAATGACTGTTTTTAAACCTTCAGGTGAAATAGTTAAATGTGAAATGCTATAGTTGCATGTGTTAAATACATATGTACAAATGTATGTGTGTACGTAGAAATGTATGTACAGGTGTTTGTATTTCAAAATTACTATAATTTGATTTGTGCTACTGTAGTTTGAAACGTCTGGCTGACAAAAGGATGTATGAAAGGAAAAGGACGCAGGAATATGAATGAAAATGTTCTCTGTTCCACGACAGAGGAATTCATCAAATACGAGGCGAATTTATTCCATCTAGATACATAGCTCAGGCAAAGCTTTTATAAGGTTCACATTTCGAAAAGATTTATCAAACGTTGTATCAATTCTTTAAAGGGCCCATACATGATATCAGCCATGCTGGCGCTATCCAGTGTTGGTGCCAGTCGATTGACCGTGTATGTTCTTGTGGAGTGATTTTACCAGCTGCTGGTGCGAAATCAAAAACGATTTGACATTTTTAAGATTGTACCAGCATGATGGTGCCGAGGATGGTGAAATTCGCTCATTTTTTTGAGTAAAAAGTATTTTGGCGGAAATTCCTTGCACTATATAAGTCAAAGACGTGTTTGCGTAAGATTATTGCCGTTGTGAATTAAAAAAAAAAAAAACAATGTTTAATAAAATGTTTAAAAAAATGATCAAATTTCGGCTCTAATCATTTCGTTTTTTCCGGACTTCATTTATAAATAAATAAATATTGTACCAATGGTAGTATGTCATAGCCCTGCAGGGAAATCGCGGACTAGTGAATCAAATTTCTAGTTCCGTACTAGGTCTTTATCGCCAAAAACGAACTAGTCCGATATGAACTAAATCCCCGCCAGTCCGAAATCGGCGAAAAGTGGTACTCTTAAAAAACTAATTTATTTCCGTTTTTTCACTAGAAATCGATATCTAAAGTGACGAATTTAGAAATGGTTCGGAACTATAGAAAAAGGGATGCAGCGGAGGGCTTGTTTACTTTACATAGATATGTGTTCGGCGGCTTTTTCGTTCAAATACGCCTGTTCTATTCTGCGCTTCGCAGATGCTTTTTCATAGCTTGGTAATACAAAACTAAAATTTGTGTTAACATTTCAACATCTTGGGACCGTCTGGAATCTAAGAAATAACAGCGAGCACCTCTGCAAACTCAGCTACAGCTAAAGGTATGTAAACGTACATTTCTTACAATCATTCAAACAAATTTAATTTCAAATTGAAAACACATTTCTTCCAAAATAACCTAAAATCGCACACATGGAAGAACCAAAAAGATTGAAAAATCATGATACTTTTTTCTTTCGTCTGTCGATTTTGGAACTGGTTCGGAACTATAGAATTTAGGACTAGTTCGGAACTATCGAAAAATGGATGCAGCGGACATCGCCATGTTAAATTCGCCAGTTGCTTGCATGCAAAAGAGATTTATCGCGAACCAGTACTGGGTCTAAATGTACTAGAAGCGCCCCAGTTCAGAACTAGAGATTTTCCCCACAGGGATGCTTCAAGCTTGATGGTGCCAGCAAGCTGGTGTCGTATATTTCCCCTTTTTTAAAAACTTTGTGTGCATATAGCTTTGCTTTTGGTCAGAATTTTTGTTGAAAAACACGAATATTTATTAATTTTTTAATTCCCTTGATTAAAAACAGTATACATATAAACAGAACCAAATCGAATTTCGTCGGAAGGAACGGTGACGTCGGATGATATTCGCCACAACATTTCGCCCAGTACAAGAGAAACGAAACGATCGATGCTTCTTCCTGGTAATTATCGGCTAGAAAAGCAGAAAAGCAAAGCTACTTTTTCACTGGCAGCTGGCATAATTAAAAATAAATCTATACTCGCCGAAATTTGTCAGACGAAGTTCGCTCAGCGATTTGATTCCGTTTATACTTTATACTTAGGCGGCATTTTTGTGCGTTAAGTGAAATTAATTAAATTGTTGTTAAAAATTAATGCTGCATTTTAAAGACGATTGTAGATATTGGATAGCGAATATAGGCAAACAAGTTGAAGGACTTTAGGATAAAACAAAACAACGAAATACGATTTTTGTCATTAAGAATCTGGACACACAGTTTTGGCTATATAAAAACTGAATACATTTTTTCGATCACCCAAATCCCTGTCATAAAGCTTTGGCTATTTTAAATTATAAAATATATACATTTTGGTTATTTATACGTAAACTAGACATAATATGTTGTCGGTGACAAGATTACTAAATGTGTTTGCTTGGTCCGGTCAACATCTAAATTAGAAAAAGTTTTTTCCCTCGGCAGGCAATGGCAAACCTCTGAACGAATATCTGCCTTGAAAAGGCTTCTCACAAAATCCATTTGTAAAACTGTAAATTTCTCCATCAAGACGTACACCACAATTTGTAGGAGAAGCTCGGCCAAACGCCTAGTAAAAGTGTAAGCAATAGAATTTTATTGTTATTGTTGTTGCTTAAACCCCTTATGAGGCGCGCAAATGTTCGTAAACAAGAAGGTAAACTTTTACGATTTCAAACCCTCACAGCCGGTATAAACTTGTTTGGCCTGTGCAGCCTGCGCCCATAATTCAAGCTAGTCTTTTTTGTTTACATAGATCTTATTATATGGAGATCATAATCATTGGGCAGATTTTATTAATTATCCCATGATGGTTCTAGGCCCTGTGTCGCTTAATATTAAAAAAAAAAATTTTTTGAATTCAAAATCCTTAAATACTTGCATTTATGCCCCCTCCATTTGGATAGATCCCTTACCCTATTTTCTTGTATTTTATTTTGTCGTTTACTATTTTCTATTGTTCACAATAATATCCGCTTGTGACTTCATTTGCATTGTTTAAGCTTTCAAATGATGTTTAACAAAATCTCCACATTTCACCTGAGTGTCATGCGGTCGCATATGCTACGCCATTGTTGAAAAATCTTGACTGGAATGCAATGCAAAGTCACTACCGCCCTCGGTGCGCAGCAGAGCGGAGGGCAGGCAAGCTCCAAAGCAATAACAGTTTTGAATATTTTGTTTTTTTTGCGCACGCACACGCACACGTGCGTCATGCCGTTCGGCAGCATTTCCTGCATCCTTATCCTGCATGCTTTATCCTGTAGACGTGCCGTGCGAACAATGCGATTCGAAAGTGATAACAACATTTGCAACATTTGGCCTACAAAACGAAACGCTTTTAGCAGATGTAGAAAATGTATACTTTTTTACATCCAGATTTGAGTATTTAGTAGAATCTACACACACATTGTAGAGCAAGTATATTTCTGCACTTCATCTATAGATACATACATAGGTGCGTAAATGTTTGGCAAGTTGATTACTCGGAAGTTGTGTGTCTAAAATATTTTGGTTTTATTCTCTATGTACATCTTTTGGAGAGTACCTCTACATACATATATGTATGTATCTACACCTATATCTTTCATAATACTTTGTGTTAAAATGAAAGCTTGACCCACTTAAAAGAATAGAACAAGTACAAGTGTGAGGCCAATAGATAATTTACAGAAGCATCTTTCCATTTTGGCTTATCTTAATTAAAAATCAATTAATTAAGTACAAATATGACTGCCACCGAGAAATTCTCCCTAAATTCAGCCACATGCGTTAGTTGGACAGCGTTTTTTTTTGCTAACAGTTCTACGCAGTTTTCCATATATAATCGACAATATTTATTTTTTT